AAGAAGTGCCATCCGTTGCATGTTTGAAGAAGTGCCATCCGTTGCATGTTTGAAGAAGTGCCATCCGTTGCATGTTTGAAGAAGTGCCATCCGTTGCATGTTTGAAGAAGTGCCATCCGTTGCATGTTTGAAGAAGTGCCATCCGTTGCATGTTTGAAGAAGTGCCATCCGTTGCATGTTTGAAGAAGTGCCATCCGTTGCATGTTTGAAGAAGTGCCATCCGTTGCATGTTTGAAGAAGTGCCATCCGTTGCATGTTTGAAGAAGTGCCATCCGTTGCATGTTTGAAGAAGTGCCATCCGTTGCATGTTTGAAGAAGTGCCATCCGTTGCATGTTTGAAGAAGTGCCATCCGTTGCATGTTTGAAGAAGTGCCATCCGTTGCATGTTTGAAGAAGTGCCATCCGTTGCATGTTTGAAGAAGTGCCATCCGTTGCATGTTTGAAGAAGTGCCATCCGTTGCATGTTTGAAGAAGTGCCATCCGTTGCATGTTTGAAGAAGTGCCATCCGTTGCATGTTTGAAGAAGTGCCATCCGTTGCATGTTTGAAGAAGTGCCATCCGTTCCATGTTTGAAGAAGTGCCATCCGTTGCATGTTTGAAGAAGTGCCATCCGTTGCATGTTTGAAGAAGTGCCATCCGTTGCATGTTTGAAGAAGTGCCATCCGTTGCATGTTTGAAGAAGTGCCATCCGTTGCATGTTTGAAGAAGTGCCATCCGTTGCATGTTTGAAGAAGTGCCATCCGTTGCATGTTTGAAGAAGTGCCATCCGTTGCATGTTTGAAGAAGTGCCATCCGTTGCATGTTTGAAGAAGTGCCATCCGTTGCATGTTTGAAGAAGTGCCATCCGTTGCATGTTTGAAGAAGTGCCATCCGTTGCATGTTTGAAGAAGTGCCATCCGTTGCATGTTTGAAGAAGTGCCATCCGTTGCATGTTTGAAGAAGTGCCATCCGTTGCATGTTTGAAGAAGTGCCATCCGTTGCATGTTTGAAGAAGTGCCATCCGTTGCATGTTTGAAGAAGTGCCATCCGTTGCATGTTTGAAGAAGTGCCATCCGTTGCATGTTTGAAGAAGTGCCATCCGTTGCATGTTTGAAGAAGTGCCATCCGTTGCATGTTTGAAGAAGTGCCATCCGTTGCATGTTTGAAGAAGTGCCATCCGTTGCATGTTTGAAGAAGTGCCATCCGTTGCATGTTTGAAGAAGTGCCATCCGTTGCATGTTTGAAGAAGTGCCATCCGTTGCATGTTTGAAGAAGTGCCATCCGTTGCATGTTTGAAGAAGTGCCATCCGTTGCATGTTTGAAGAAGTGCCATCCGTTGCATGTTTGAAGAAGTGCCATCCGTTGCATGTTTGAAGAAGTGCCATCCGTTGCATGTTTGAAGAAGTGCCATCCGTTCCATGTTTGAAGAAGTGCCATCCGTTCCATGTTTGAAGAAGTGCCATCCGTTCCATGTTTGAAGAAGTGCCATCCGTTCCATGTTTGAAGAAGTGCCATCCGTTCCATGTTTGAAGAAGTGCCATCCGTTGCATGTTTGAAGAAGTGCCATCCGTTGCATGTTTGAAGAAGTGCCATCCGTTGCATGTTTGAAGAAGTGCCATCCGTTGCATGTTTGAAGAAGTGCCATCCGTTGCATGTTTGAAGAAGTGCCATCCGTTGCATGTTTGAAGAAGTGCCATCCGTTGCATGTTTGAAGAAGTGCCATCCGTTGCATGTTTGAAGAAGTGCCATCCGTTCCATGTTTGAAGAAGTGCCATCCGTTCCATGTTTGAAGAAGTGCCATCCGTTGCATGTTTGAAGAAGTGCCATCCGTTGCATGTTTGAAGAAGTGCCATCCGTTGCATGTTTGAAGAAGTGCCATCCGTTGCATGTTTGAAGAAGTGCCATCCGTTGCATGTTTGAAGAAGTGCCATCCGTTGCATGTTTGAAGAAGTGCCATCCGTTGCATGTTTGAAGAAGTGCCATCCGTTGCATGTTTGAAGAAGTGCCATCCGTTGCATGTTTGAAGAAGTGCCATCCGTTGCATGTTTGAAGAAGTGCCATCCGTTGCATGTTTGAAGAAGTGCCATCCGTTCCATGTTTGAAGAAGTGCCATCCGTTCCATGTTTGAAGAAGTGCCATCCGTTCCATGTTTGAAGAAGTGCCATCCGTTCCATGTTTGAAGAAGTGCCATCCGTTGCATGTTTGAAGAAGTGCCATCCGTTGCATGTTTGAAGAAGTGCCATCCGTTGCATGTTTGAAGAAGTGCCATCCGTTGCATGTTTGAAGAAGTGCCATCCGTTGCATGTTTGAAGAAGTGCCATCCGTTGCATGTTTGAAGAAGTGCCATCCGTTGCATGTTTGAAGAAGTGCCATCCGTTCCATGTTTGAAGAAGTGCCATCCGTTCCATGTTTGAAGAAGTGCCATCCGTTCCATGTTTGAAGAAGTGCCATCCGTTCCATGTTTGAAGAAGTGCCATCCGTTCCATGTTTGAAGAAGTGCCATCCGTTGCATGTTTGAAGAAGTGCCATCCGTTGCATGTTTGAAGAAGTGCCATCCGTTGCATGTTTGAAGAAGTGCCATCCGTTGCATGTTTGAAGAAGTGCCATCCGTTGCATGTTTGAAGAAGTGCCATCCGTTGCATGTTTGAAGAAGTGCCATCCGTTGCATGTTTGAAGAAGTGCCATCCGTTGCATGTTTGAAGAAGTGCCATCCGTTCCATGTTTGAAGAAGTGCCATCCGTTCCATGTTTGAAGAAGTGCCATCCGTTGCATGTTTGAAGAAGTGCCATCCGTTGCATGTTTGAAGAAGTGCCATCCGTTGCATGTTTGAAGAAGTGCCATCCGTTGCATGTTTGAAGAAGTGCCATCCGTTGCATGTTTGAAGAAGTGCCATCCGTTGCATGTTTGAAGAAGTGCCATCCGTTGCATGTTTGAAGAAGTGCCATCCGTTGCATGTTTGAAGAAGTGCCATCCGTTGCATGTTTGAAGAAGTGCCATCCGTTGCATGTTTGAAGAAGTGCCATCCGTTCCATGTTTGAAGAAGTGCCATCCGTTCCATGTTTGAAGAAGTGCCATCCGTTCCATGTTTGAAGAAGTGCCATCCGTTCCATGTTTGAAGAAGTGCCATCCGTTGCATGTTTGAAGAAGTGCCATCCGTTGCATGTTTGAAGAAGTGCCATCCGTTGCATGTTTGAAGAAGTGCCATCCGTTGCATGTTTGAAGAAGTGCCATCCGTTGCATGTTTGAAGAAGTGCCATCCGTTGCATGTTTGAAGAAGTGCCATCCGTTGCATGTTTGAAGAAGTGCCATCCGTTCCATGTTTGAAGAAGTGCCATCCGTTCCATGTTTGAAGAAGTGCCATCCGTTCCATGTTTGAAGAAGTGCCATCCGTTCCATGTTTGAAGAAGTGCCATCCGTTCCATGTTTGAAGAAGTGCCATCCGTTCCATGTTTGAAGAAGTGCCATCCGTTCCATGTTTGAAGAAGTGCCATCCGTTCCATGTTTGAAGAAGTGCCATCCGTTGCATGTTTGAAGAAGTGCCATCCGTTGCATGTTTGAAGAAGTGTTTTGAGACGTCTCAAATTACCACTCGTTGCCATCCGTTCCATAGCTTGTCTCCTCTTCATTATCTGATGACTCCTCTTGCCATCCCCAGTCTCTATCATCTCCCCTCTTCCGTGTGTCGCATTCTCACATTCTTGCTCTTCCCTGTGCATATGCGCGGCCCCATGTGTGCTGTGCACCGCCCCTGTGAACTGTTCCCCCTCCACGCTGCATGTGTGGCTGCATTAGTGGACGTGTGTGTGTTCCTGGGTGTGTGGCTGCGTGTGCGTGCGTGCGTGCGTGTGTGTCTGTGCGTGTGTGCATGAGTCACTGTCAGTTCAACTGCCCTCGGGACGACCAGTACAACGACCTCGCCACCATTTTCTTTAACACACAGGTGCGCTGGGGGTGGGTGTGTGGCTGCGGCTGCGGCTGCGGGCGCGGGCGCGGGGCGGGTGCGGGGCGGGTGCGGGTGGGTGGGGGTGGGGGTTCGCGGAAGAAGATGGGGGAGGGGGGTGGAAGGGGGAGGAAGGAAGCAGGGAGGTGAAGGGGAGTGTGGGAGAGTTGTTGGGTGGGGGGGTGTTGAGGGAGAGGAGGGGGTGGGTAAGGGGAGGACTGCACTGTCTTCCTTAACTTCACTCATCTTGCATCGTCTTGACTCATCTCGCCTCATCTCACTCTCGCCTCATCTCACTCTCGCCTCATTTTACTCTCGCCTCATTTTACTCTCGCCTCATTTTACTCTCGCCTCATTTTACTCTCGCCTCATTTTACTCTCGCCTCATTTTACTCTCGCCTCATTTTACTCTCGCCTCATTTTACTCTCGCCTCATTTTACTCTCGCCTCATTTTACTCTCGCCTCATTTTACTCTCGCCTCAGCGTGGCTTGTTTCGTCCTGAACTCGACTCTTTCTGCGCCCGCATATTACAGGACGATGCTATCCGCAATCTGTTCAGCAGCGGCACCATACAGGAGTACAGCGCCGGCACCCTCATCTCCTTCCTCGTCAGTGCCTCCACCCGCAGCCCCCTCTCTCCCTCGCCCCCTTCGCTCCCGCGCCTTTTGCTCCCTCGCTCACTCACCCACTCTTTTCCTTCCCCCGTCATTCGCTCCCTCCCGCCCTCGCCCCCCCCAATCCTCTAGCTTGCTCCCCTAATGCCCCTCTCACTTGCTCGTGTCTCTCGCTCCCCCCTCCCTCGCTCGCCCTTTTTGCATCACGGCCGGAGTTTTGTTTTGTGTGTTGGGAGGCATGATGAGGCGCGCCTTACCGCGTCACTGCCTCATTGCTGCATCATTAGGGGGCTTGTAGATGCTGCATGTTAATACGACATGCTGAGGTATTTCGCCACTCTTGCTGCTCTTTCGTCCCGCTCCCCCCTCCCATACCCCCTCCCCCCCACACAGCTCATCTTCTTCTGCCTGGCAGTGCTGACATACGGCATAGCAGTGCCGTCAGGGCAGTTCGTGCCGGGCATTATGATCGGTGCCACATACGGTCGCCTGGTGGGCATGCTCATGGTGCACATGTACGGGCAGGACAACACAGACGAGGGCACGTGAGTGCGAAAGGGAGGGGGGTTGGTGGGTGTTGACGGGGACGGGTAGTGAGGGGCGGGGTTGGTTGAAGTGTGATACGGGTGGGGCCGGTGCACATGTACGGGCAGGACAACACGGACGAGGGCACGTGAGTGCGGAAAAAGGGAGAGGAGGTTTTATAGGTGGTTGGTGGGGATTGGTGGGGGGTCGGTGGGTGGTTTGTGGGGGTTGGCTGGTCCTAAGGCGGCCTGGATCATGTGGTTTTCTCCCCTCTCCTCTTCTTTCCTTGCCGCTTTCCTCCCCTCCCTCTCCCACTTCACCATCCTCCCCTCCCCTTTCCTCCCCTCCCACCCTTCCCCTCCCCGCCCCCCCCCCCCTTCTCCTCCCTTCCGCTCCCACCCATCCCCCTTCCCCTTTCCCTTCGCAGCTACGCGCTGCTGGGCGCGGCGTCGTTCTTGGGGGGGTCGATGCGCATGACGGTGTCGCTGTGTGTGATCATGGTGGAGATCACCAACAACCTCAACCTCCTCCCACTCATCATGCTCGTCCTCCTCGTCTCTAAGGTGTCCCCTATTGCTGCCTGCCTGCCTGCCTACCATCGCCTAGCTCGCTAGGTTAGTAGTTGAGTGGCTAAGTTAATAATTAATCCCTGCCTATCACGTTGTGCATCCACACACACATACATGCATGAAATCAGAGTTCAATGTTTTCTTGCTGCACTAGCTGCCAAGGGAGCAGATTCCACGGAAGAAGGTGGGCAACCTTCTGAGGTCTGGGAGCATAAGAAGCGGCGGGTTCGGGTGTGTGTCCAAGGGATTAACAAGGAGCAAAGCAGGTGGAAGGAAGAGTTGGAGGCTGCCTTCTGGCATGCCTTCCAACTGTTCTGCTCCTTGTCAATCCCTTGGACACACACCCGGACCCTTCTCGTAATGCCACGTCCATGCAGCTTGAGACCTCAACCCAGGATGCTATCACTCCTGCTCTTCCTTCCCCTCCTCCCCTTCCCCTTCCGTCCGCTTAACCACCCATTCCCGCGTCCCTCCAATTTCCTGTCTCTGCTCCCCGCTCCACACACCAGGCGGTGGGTTTCTACAACCTGCATGCTTGCTTGAAACCTGGAAGCAGAGTCGTAAGTCCCTCTTTCTCTCCCTCCTCTTCCTTCCCCTTCGTTTCCCATACACCAGGCGGTGGGGGACGGGTTGAACGCGGGGTTCTACGACCTGCACGCGCAGCTGCGCGGCATCCCCATCTTGGAGGCGCAGTCGCAGCGCTTCATGCGCATGCTGTCCGCGCGCGACGCCGCGTCCACCAAGGTGGTGTACTTTGCGCGAGTGGAGATGGTGGGGCGCATAGCGGAGGTGCTGCGGAGTACATCCCACAATGGATATCCCGTGCTGCAGGACCTCCCCGATGGGCAGACGGTGCTCGCTGGGCTGATTCTGCGCAGGTGAGGGGCGGTGAGGGTGAGGGTGAGGGTGGTTGTGGTTGGTGATGGTATGGTGATGGTGCTGGTGACGATGGTGATGATGGTGGTGCTGGTGCTGGAGGTGGTGCTGATGATGCTGATCTTGATGCTGATGCTGATGGCGACGTGGCGTCCACCAAGGTGGTGTACTTTGCGCGAGTGGAGATGGTGGGGCGCATAGCTGAGGTGCTGCGTTCCACGTCGCATAATGGATATCCCGTGCTGCAGGACCTCCATGATGGGCACACCGTGCTCGCTGGGCTCATTCTGCGCAGGTGCGCAGCTGCTCATGCTCATGCTCATGCTCATGCTCATGCTCATGCTGCTGAACATGCTGCTGCTGCTGCCACCGCTGCCGCCGCCTGTCCCTTTCGTCCCTCCCTCGTACCGTCTCTCTTATTTTCCCTGGACTTATCGCGTTCCTCTTCCTCCCTATTCCCCCCATCTCGCTTGCTGCATCGCAGTCAGCTGCTGGTGCTGCTTCGCTCCAAGGCAGACTTTCAGCAGTCGCCCACAGAAAGAATGCACCCCCTGCAGACCAGGTAACGCACGCCCCCCCCACCTGCTCCCTCTTTTTCCTCCTCCCTATGTCCCCGGGTCCTTTCCAAGCTCTCCATGTTCTTTGAGAGTTCTCAAAAAACATACTAGTCCTTCTCAAGCTCTCCTCTCCTCTCACTGTTGCCATCTCAGTCCCCTACCGCCCCCCTTCTCGACCCCCTCTCCGTGCCTTTCGAATACTCCGCACACTGTCCTACCCAACCCACCACCTCCCACCCCCCATCTTTGTTCAGCTCTCTATGCGCTCCCTGGGCAGCTGCTCTTCCTTTCCTCTCCTTCAAACCTCTCCACCCGCCCCCAACTACTTCCCCTCCTCCTCCCCACCCCTTCCCCCCCCTCCCCACCCCTTTCCCCCCCCCCTCCCCACCCCTTCCCCCCCCCCCTCCCCACCCCTTCCCCCCCCCCCCCCTCCCCACCCCTTCCCCCCCCTTCCCCCCCCTTCCCATCCCTCCCCCCTCTTCCCATCAGCTCCCTGTGCTCGCTGGGAAGCTATTCGTTTTCGGACTTTGCCAAGCCGGTGTCCACCAAGGGCATCAGCATCGGGGGCATAGAGCTGTCCCGGGAGCTCTTTGGAGTCCCCTCTCCCATTCCCCCCGCCCCTACAATCAGCCCCCTGTGCTCCCTGGGCAGCCACTCCTTCTCAAGCTCTCCTCTCCTCTCTTTTCCACCATCAAAACTCCTCCCTCCTACAATCATCCCTCCCCTCCCCCCTCTTCCAATCAGCTCCCTGCGCTCGCTGGGAAGCTATTCGTTTTCGGACTTTGCGAAGCCGGTGTCCACCAAGGGCATCACCATCGGGGACATAGAGCTGTCCCGTGAGGACCTCACGCTCTGGATCGACCTGGGGCCCTTCCTCAACCCCACGCCCTTCATCGTTGACGAGAACATGTCTCTCACTAAGGTCAGTATTGAGGTAGCTCACAAATGCCCTGCTCAGTGAGTGAGGTGCACTGCTTGGTAAGGTGTATATATACCTGACTGAGGTGCCTGTTGCTCACCATTTCAAACTCTCTGGAAGAGCTGGGCTGGACGTCAGGTGAGGAGAGGAAGCTTGTGTGTGCGTCAAACTTGACCTCGAAGCACTGCTGCTGCTGCAGCTGCTGCTGCTCAGCCACGCACATGCCGAGTTTGGACTGCTCGTGGTCGTCTTGATGAGCCGGGGGGTGTGGGGTAACGGGATATCCGCGGCGGGGGGCTTAAGGATTGAGGCAGGTGCATGGGGAAAGACTTGGGGGAGAATCTTCATGTTGAGGAGATATGACTTTGGGAAGACTGATGCATACATGGCGACTCCGTCAATTCTGATTCTGGAGTCACCTCCGACTCACAGAGCGTGGTGGAGGTGGTGGGAAGAGTCAAGACGTGCAAACTATGCGTGTGCAGCCCAGGGAGGTGGTACCAGCGGGTTGTGTCAATAGCAGGGGGCAGGAGTGTTCCTCTGGGTTCCACATCAGTGGCCACTGGTGCCACCACTGGCGGCTGATGACCCAGGGAAAACCTACTCCCCGTGCTGCCGGGCAGCTCTTGGAGTGAATCCCTGTCGTGATTAACACGGTTTGATCTCGCTGCTAGGTGTGTGTCACTTACACCTCCTGGCTGGGCTACACACACACGCATGTTGTGCACGTCTGACAACTCCACCACCTCCACCATGTCCTGTGAGTCGGACTCAGAGTCGCTAGAAAGTTCTCTCTGAAACTCTTAAGCTTGGCAACTCCACCACCTCCAACACGTCCTAAGTCGGGGTCGTGGTCGGTCAGTGGAAATACTTTCTGAAATGTTAACATTGCATTTATTACTAAAACATATCTTGCTTTGCACATGTGATGTGCAAAGTCTATAACCCCCCGCACAGATATCTGAAGGAATAGAAGCAGGCTGTCTTCTTTTCAGGGACCAACATCCATTGCAAACGTTTGACTGTTGCGTGGTTGATGCTTCAAGTATGCCACCACCACCGGTTCACCCCCTCTTTTTCTCCTTGTGCCCTCTCTTCCCCACCTCCTCTTTCCCACCGTGCCAGGTGCACACGCTGTTTCGGCAGCTGGGGCTGCGCCATCTGTGTGTGGTGCCGCCTCCCTCCAGAGCCGTCGGCATCATCACGCGCAAGGACCTTCTGCCTGAGGTCCGTCTTCCCTTCCCCGTGCCCATCCCCCTGTGCCCCTACCCCGTGCCCATCCCCCTGTGCCCCTACCCTGTGCCCATCCCCCTGTGCCCCTACTCCCATGCCCCTACCCCCGTGCGCCTTCCCTGGTGCCACTCTTTATTGTGTCCTTTACTCCACCCTCTCCTCCCCTCCCTTTCCCCACCTCTGCCGTATCTCCCCTTTCTGCTATCTCAAGTGTGTTATCCGCCGTCCACATATCGCCCCCTCACCTCACCTTTTTCTTGCATTTGTCTGTTCCCTTGCTTCCTTTCATTATGACTTGCGCAAAGTGCACCTGTGATTGCCACGTTGTGGCGGCCGCCATTACGCACTATGCAGCCCAGTCCATTCAATCCACTGAATCCCATGCGTTCCGTACAATTTATCCATGCAATCCCATTCAATCCGTACGATGCGTGCATGCACATGGCGCACAGATTCTGGAGGAGCGGCATGCAGAGTTTGAGGACCTCACATGGGAGGAAGGCGAGATAGAGGTCAGCAGGAAAGGGAAGGGAGGGAGTGGTATGGGGGGGGTGGGGGGGTGAGGAGGGAGGGAGGGACGTGAGGGGAGGGTACCCGTGGGTGCATGCTGTTGACTTGGCAAGCCATACCGTCCCATGCCATCCCATGACCCATGCCATGTTGCCTTCTTCTCTTGCCTGTGCTATCTTCCCTCCAGACATTCACGCCCCGCCTCCTGCGCCGCGGCTCGTCTGCTGCCCCGCAGTCGCCAGTGCCGCACCTTCAGCAGCAGCCGATGGAAGTGCAGCTTCGGGAAATGGGCGCTCGGTTCGATAGCCAGCAAGAGCATGAGCATCAACATCAGCAGCAGCAGCAGCAGCAGCAAGGTAGTCAAAGATTGGCGAACGGGCGTGGAAAGAACGTGCGGGGAAGTGTGAGGAGAAGAGGGTCGGATCCTCAGCAGATAATGGAGAGAGTGGATGAGATAGGCAGTGACCAAGCTGCTCACACTGATCTTGCTGCTCATGAAGATGAGCATCTTGGTCAACATCAGCAAAGTTACAGCGACCACCGCCGGCAACAACAACAACAACGGCAGCAAGATTCTGAGCTGAATCGGCAGGGTCGCGAGGAGCAGGAGGGGGAGATTGAGGAGATTTTGATAGACTGCCCCCCTCATGGGGGCACAAGTGCAGGAACAGGAGCAGCAGCAGCGGTGGCGGTGGCGTCACCAGTGTTGACAGGAGTACATTCAGGGCATTCAAACAGGGAGCAGCAGCGAGGTGGGGGGACTACCTTGCACTCACCTGCAGGTGCAGTGGCAGCTAGAAGGGACGATGCTCCCCTGGTTGACTTGGACTTATCATCAGACGCCCACCCTGCTGCTGCTGCTGCCTCTCCTGCAGCAGTAGCTGCAGCAGCAGCTATCGCTGGTGTTGGCACTAGCAGCACGAGCAGCAGTGGTGGTGTAAGTGCTGGGTGGTTGACGCAGGGAGGAGCCAGCAGTGTTCATGCCAGCAGCAGCCCTCATGCAAGTGCACGCATACCGGCAGGGCAAGTGCAATCACCAGCACCAGTAGGTGACAGTGTCACCAGTAGTGCGAACCCTTTGAGCAGAGATGAGGAAGCTTCGTCGTTGCTGCTCTAGTCTGCTCTAGTGCCTGCTCTGGTGCCTGCTGCCTTGTGTCTGTTTGCCACCACCCCTGTCGTTATTGGTGCTTTTGTACACAAAAAAAGTGACTGACATAAGGGCTGCTGCTGCCTAGCATGCATCGCCCTCTTCCAAGTACCTGCCCGGATGACCTCACTCTTGGCCTTCGGCCATGCTGGCGAGCTTAAACTGGTGCATTTACAGTCTGTGTTGTACCGCCCTTCAACCACACTCAACAACGGCCAATCTTCGTCAAAAATTCCATCCCCACGAAGTAGCCAACCTATCAAATATGCAGCCTTTTTGTATCACCTGCAGACATGTCCTTCAAAACAAATCCCCAAAGTGGCCAGCCTGCCTGCCTGCCACTCTTCCATCCCATCCTGCCCTGCTACCGTATCTACCATATCACCTTATGCTTCAATCTTGCACCTAGCTATCAGGCTCCCAGCCGCCAAGCGACTGTGGCGGCGGGTAGGAGGTGAAGAGGCGGAAGTCGTTGCCGAGCTTGTTGCGGTGCTCTGGGCGGAACACAGCTGCGGGTGATCTATGAATCGACTTTCGAAATGAATCACATCCATCCAGCATTACCCCAGTACCACCTAGCTATCAGGCTCCCAGCCACCAAGGGACTGTGGTGGCGGGTAGGAGGTGAAGAGGCGGAAGTCGTTGCCGAGCTTGTTGCGGTGCTCTGGACGGAACACAGCCGGACGCAGCTGCAGCAGCCGCCTCGCTGCCTCCTCCTGCACTGCACCTGGGGGGTTGCAGAGCGGGCGAGTGTGGCGCGCGAGGAGGGAGCAGGAGGGAGGTGGGGAAATAGGTTGAGGCGAAAACGGGATGAGGCGACTGGGTAGGGATGGTAAGGTTGCTGACTGATTGTGGCAGTCGGGAACGGAAGGGAAGGGGGGAGGAGGCTGTGTAGAGCAACAGGGGAATGAAAGGTGAGAAGGGGTTTGTATCATAGGTTGCTTGCTGAGACTAAAAAAGGGAAAATGTAATTTTGAGTTGAGGCGCCTAAAAAATGGGATCATGATCATGAGGGTCTGAGAGAGATAACGAGAGGCAAGGTAAGGAGAGCACAAGGAAACGACGACCAACAAACCGTGTGTGGCAGCGACTTGCTACAGCAGGCGTGCTACAGCAGGCGCGGGGAGAGGCAGTGCGGGAGGAGAAAGCCAAAAGAGGAACGGAGGAACCATGAGGGGGAGGAGAGGGGGTATGTGTTAAGAATGTGAACGTAAAAAAATGCTACCTGTGAGGAGGAGGAGGCTGGGCGGGGTGGCAGTGGAGTCGTCCTCCTTGGCCAGCAGCTTCATGGTCTGCGCTGTCTTTTCCAAACACTCCTCGCTCTGCTCACAGGGAAGGAGAATGGGGAGTAGGAGAAGACAAGAGGATATAAAGAGACGACAAAGAGAAGCAGAGCGAACCACGACGGTGGAAGACCAAGTCCACCCCGTTCCAGAGGGGAGCGGGGGCTGGGTTAGGGGCCGTGGTCTTGCGTGACTTTGTACCAAAGTTCAGGGTATGAAAAATGATGAGGAAGCAAGAGCATGAAGGGGAACGGTGCGAGGGAAAAGGGGGGTGATTGAGCGAGAGGGAGAAGGGAGGGTGCTCGAAAGGCATTCTTGGGATGTGAGACACGTCACACACATATCAATGCAATGTGTGGCTTGAAATTGCAAGACGCCGGGAAGGGCGAGGCGCATAAATGCGCGCATGGAATGGCGCGCGCACGCATCAGATAAGGCGGAGTTGGTTGGTGGCGACGACGACTTTTGAGGCTCTAAAAAATCACCTCACTAAGGCCGAGTCTCCTGGAAGGGAGGATCGGATGGCGAGCACGCACGCACCAGGAAGGGCGGGTCAGCGACGACAACGTCAAAGCGGTGGTGCAGTGCAGAGCGGTGAGCACATCCAAGGGCGTGCGGTAGTCTTAGCGGGAGAAAACTGCTGAGTCGACTCAAAAGGCATCACACACGCACTCACTAGGTAGGGCGGGTCGGCAACGACGACGTCGAAGTGGTGGTGCAGTGCGGTGGGCACGTCGAGCGGTGTGCGGTAGTCTATTCTTAAGGCGCCAAAAAAAAGGGATGGCGTGCTCACCAGGTAGGGCGGGTCAGCAACAACGACGTCGAAGCGGTGGTGCAGTGAGGCAGGCACGTCAAGGGGCGTGCGGTAGTCGTAGCGGGAGAAGCGCGGCGCAAAGGCTGCGAAACGCCGGTCGTACTCCAGCAGATGCACGTCCATGGCGGGGTAGCGCCGCTGGTTTGGGGGGGAGAGGGTGGGAAGGGAGAGAGGGGAGATGCGTGAGGTGGGGGCGGCGGCAAGGGAAATGGGGAAGCGCCGGTCGTACTCCAGCAGATGCACGTCCATTGCGGGGTATAGCCGCTGGTTGGGGGACGGGCGTGGGTTGGAGAAAGGCGGGGAGTGGGGGGAGGGGGGGAATGGGGGAGATGAAGGGCGTGGGGATCTACATGCACGTGTACTCCAGCAGATGCACGTCCATTGCGGGGTAGCAGCGCTGGTTGGGGAGGGGTGTGGGGGGAAAAGGCGGGGAGTGAGGGAAAGGCGGGGAGTGGGGGAAAGGTGGGGAAGGTGGGAAATGGGGGAAGATGAAGGGCGTGGGGATCTTCATGCACTTGCACTCCAGAAGACGCACGTCCATGGCGGGGTAGCGCGCCGCTGGTTGGGGGGGGAGCGTGGGGTGGAACGGGGGGCGAGGGGGAGGAGAGGGAGAGGAGAAGGTGAAGGGCCTGGGAGTCTTGGCGCACTCCAGTACATGCACGCCCATGGAAGGGTAGCGCCGCTGGTGGCTTTTGAGGCGCAAAAGACGCCCATGGAAGGGTAGAGCTGGTGGTGGGGGGCGAGAGAGGCGGAGAGAGCGAGGGATGGGGGGGAAGGGGCGAGGAGACAGAAATAATGGGGACACTCACAGCAGATGCAATAGCATGTGGGGTGTAGCGCGGGTGGAAAGGAGGAGGGGTAGATAGAGAGTGAGGGGGGCCGAGTGAGCAAAGGGCATGGGGTTCAGTCATCAAAGCCCCACACAAGAGCAGCAACAGCAGCGCAACTCACGACTAATTCGCGGAATAAGGTCGGGCAAGCCACGCAGCAACATCTGCGGCCTCCGCTGCCCACGCTCCCCTCCCCTTCCTCTTCCCCCTTTCCTTGCCCCGCGCTTTCCCCGTCCGTTTCTTCCCGCGGTTTTTCCTCCGCCTCCCCGCCTTTCTCCTCCTCGTCAGCACGCGCGCAAGAAGCGTCTCCGCCCATCAACCGCGCCACTTCCGCCGCCACAGTCGCGGACGTGTGTGCATCGTACCAGAACTGGCTTAAACCCCAATCCTCCGCAAACAGCGCGTCTTCAACCGCTTCCTGTTCCCCCGTTACCCCCGCGCCTTCCCCATCGCGCGCAGCTCCGCCAGCCTCATCCCCGCCCGCGCGCCCCCCTTCCTCGGAGCCGGTTTGCGCCGCCTGCGCAGAAAGCGCGTGCTGCTGCTGCGCAGCGGCGGCCTGCGCGGAAAGGAAATCCTGCAGCGCCGCGAGAGTGGACGCGCTGAGCTCTTCCGCCAGAAGCGATGCGTCTACGCACGACGAGGACGGGGGTGACGGAGACGCGTCCCGTTCGGCCTGTCCGTTCCCCCCGTCCCTCCCGCCTCTTCCGCCCGTCGCGTCGTCAATAGTTTGTGTACGTGCCGAGGATGACGCAGCTTTCAGATCGTCGTCGTTGCCACGCGTTGCCGCGAGTTGCGGCGCATTTTCAGACTCTGGCTGAGACATGGGGGTTGTCGAAGGTAATGATCACAACAAAAGCACGGCAAGCCAACGGAAGTCCCAAGATGCGATGGAGAGGAGTGTGTTTTTTCCTTGAATGGTGATTTCCTGCCCTTGAGAGAGCAGAGCACGCGCCTACCACGGAAACTTACGTAAGGCCCTGAAATATCGGAAAAGCTGCCCGTTCCAGCCCTTCAAATTCAGGCCATTCTTATTTCTCTCCGAGCAACATGGATCAGAAATCGATTCTAGCTACCCACCTCACAGAGCAAAGCACGCTGGGGTGGAAGGGGGGGTGTCATTGTTTGTTGGGGAGGGGCGAGGGGCACGGTGGTGCTTGCAGCGGAATACTATCGTAGCCAGGTCCCATACAACGCTGGACTATGATTTGAAACCAGGTCTAATTTACAGGGTACAAATACGTGACGGGTAATATTCGAAACGACTCTTCTATCGAAGGTTCTACTGTCGGAACTGAGCTATAACGAGGTATTTTAATAATTGTGTTTGCCGAACATTCGAAGACTCTTCCACACCCCTTAAATTGTTCATAGTATCATAACAAAACCTCTCCACGGATGCCCACACTTCAGTGAGCACCTTAACAAATTTCACTGGTTCGTGGATCAGGTGCGGTGGTATTTGCAGCGGAATCATACAGCAGCCAGTCCCCGTAAGACGTTGGGCTATGATTTAAAATGAGGTCCAATTTACAGGGCACAAGCACGCGACGGGTAATCTTCGAAACGACTCCGCTATACGAAGGTTCTACTTTTGGAAACTGAGCTATAACGAGGTATTCAAATAACGGTGTTTTGCTGAACATCTGTAGAAATTTCCACCCCCTTAGTGTTATAACATTACCTCTCCCTCAGATGCCCACATTTCAGTGAGCACCTTAACGAATTTCACTGGTTCGTGGATCAGGTCGGTGGTACTTGCAGCGGAATCAACCACTAGCCAGTCCCCATAAGACGTCAGGCTATGATTTCAAAGAAGGTATATTTTACAGGGTACAAGCACGCGAAGGTAATATTCTAAACGACTCTGCTATACGAAGGTTCTACTGTCGGAAACTGAGCTATAACGAGGTATTTTAATGATGGTGTTTGCCGAACATCCGAAGCTTCTTCCACAACCCTTAAATTGTTCTTAGTGTTATAACATTACCTCTCCCACGGATGCCACACTTCAGTGAGCACCTTAACGAATTTCACTGGTTCGTGGATCGGGCACGGCGGTACTTGCAGCGGAATCGTGCAGTAGCCAGTCCCCATAAGGAACGCTAGGTTATACTTTAAAAAGAGGTCTAATTTACAGGGTATCAGTCCGTGACGGATAATCTTGTAAACGACTCCGCTATACGAAGGTTCTACTGTCGGAAACTGGGCTATAGAGAGGTATTCTAATGCCATCCAAACATCCGATGATTCCTCCACACCCCTTGTTTTTATAGCATACCTCTCCCACGGAATGCCCATCTTAACGAATTCCACTGATTCGTGGATCAGGCACGGAGTATGGCCAAATGACAGTGGGCTATGATTTAAAATGAGTTGCATTTTAAAGGATGCAAGTACGTGACGGGTAATCTTCCAGATGGCTCCGCTATACGAAGGTCTTACTGTCGAAAACAAAGCTATAACGAGGTATTACAAGACGTTGTTTATCCGAAGGCCTTTCACACCCTTCGTAGAAACAATACGAAAGGGTGTTCGCCTCCGCCAAGCCCAACACGTAGCCTGCCCTTATGAAACCCTTAATTAAACCTGCGATCACGTCTGCCACGGCAAATTGGAGCAAACTACGCCTCGCTAATGGGGCTGACTCGGATATTCATGTATTCCCTTGTCGCGCAGCAGCAATAGCAGGCGCAGGAGGATCCCGTCTAGCCGCCACTCGTGCGGTTCTGGTGCGCCGTGCTGACCCTGCCTGCCACTCCTCCGCATTGGACGGCCTGAATTTCCTCCCGACGCTACGACGGCTATCGCGCGACAACCCTCCCGTTCGATCCGACCAGTCCGCGCTCTATTAGCAAATACTAATTTTCCTGGTCGGCTTTTTCTGAACTCGATTGCAGCTTTGGTGGGGCCCGGGTCCGTTCTTCGTCGCGCGTCTGTCAGTTTTTCAGGTTCTTCGGCACAGCTCGCTCAGATCGCCCACCGTCGCTCGGCGATCGGATCCATCGTCGCACGCCGTCGCACGCTCACATCACAAGCAAACCTCGTCGCAAGTGTATTGTTCTGATCTGACCCGATCGCCGGTGCGCGGAATCGCCGCGATCGCTGGAGTGACGTGGCAGCGCATCCGCGAGTCGCTCGTGTTCCGAGGGCCTTTTGGAAGCTGCTTCCGCGCATCCTCTCACGCAGTCTACTAGTAGCTGCGAAGTCTCCTTCTACACCGCCGCCGCCGCCGCCGCCGCCGCCACAGTCTCCACCGCGACGCCTTATCGTTTCGGATAGTTCAGAACGTTTTGTTGGTTCGGATCGTTCGTGCCACTCCGCGTTTCATCTCTTCCCACCTTCTTGCGTATCAGTCCATTCCCCGGCCCCGCCCACCCCACGACCCCATCATGCATCGCCTCCCTCGCCTCAAATCGTCCCTCTTCCGCCGCCGTTCCGCAGCAGCACTCCTCCGCGGGGGCCGCCAACAGCCCGCGCTGCAAGGGCAATCGCTAGTCGCGCCGCAGCATTCCCTCACACAAGGGCAAGCACAGCCCCCGCCAAAGGCTCAACCGCAACCACAAGCGCAACTGCTACCGCAACCGCAAGCGCTGGTGCATGCGCTGTCGTTGGCGCGCGCGCACGCGCAGGCGGATCATGGCTCATTGGCGCACTCCCCCTGGCGCGCGCAGTCCGCCGCGCTGATGCATCACGCTGCGCATAGCGCCGCCGCTGCTGCCGATGCTGCTTCCGCCGATGCTGCTTCCGCAGATGCGGCTCTGAACGTTGCAGCTTCTAGCGGAGCGGAATCTGTTGTTGCTCCCCCAAAGGATTCCGTTCCCACCCATGCTGCTCCCACTAGCGGTGCCCCCGCTAGCAGTGCCCCCTCTAGAAGTGCGCCTGCTAACGCTTTTCCATACAACAGGGCTCCTTCTAACGCGGCTCCTCTTAACGGCGCTGCTGCAGCGCCTAGCAGCAGAGCAGCTCCCTACGGAGCGTCGTCCCACAATGCTGGTGCGGCGTTTGGTGGTGGTGCGGGGGGCGCGCGTGGTGCCGGTGACAGGGGTGGTGGCGGTGGCGGTGGCGCTTACTTCCACAGCCGACTCTTTGTGGGCGGTACGCACCTGCTCACCCACCCACCCGGCTCTTCCCCCCCCTCACCCTCGGCCTTTCTCCTCGCCGTTTCTCATGTTCTTGTTGCTCCGTTGAATCAAATCAGCGTGTGTTCTTGAGGCACCTCAAATCCCTTTCTTTCTTGTCATTGGAACCCCAACCCTCCCTGCGCTCCCCCTTCCCCCCCCCCCCCCTCCCTCCACGCCTTTCTCCTCCTTACCCCTTTTTTTTCTCCCCCTTCCCCCACCCCCCACCCTCCACTTCCCCCGCTCCCCCACAACGTGTCTGCCAGGCCTGGGATATGAAGTGGATGAGAACACGCTGCGAGACGCCTTCAGCTCCTTCGGCCATGTCCGCCATGGTATGCTACTACTCTACACACCCGCATCACACCACACCACACCACACCACACCACTCCACTCATGCCTTGTGAGGTGCGTCAAAAGCCATGGTACCGCACCCTTCATGCTGCCTTCTGCCTGCTGCCTGCCGTCCCTATTTGAGCCGGACTCAGCTTTTCATATTCTCTAGTCAACTCGGGTTTTCCCTTGCTTGCAGCTTTGGAATGGCCTCGTAAACAAGGTATTTCTTGCTGCTTTTGAGTCACTTCTGAGAATGATCAAAAGTTGACTCCAACCCTCCCTGTGTGTGGTCCTGAAGTTGCCTCATAAGGAAGGTCACGCTTACTGCTCTCGAGTCAATCTACTAAGAGCGCCTGTCTTACTGCCTCATTTCTAGGTTGATGGTCTATTTCTTCTACTAGCTTCTTACTGGTAATAAACCAGTCAAGTGCCACTGCCTCCCGGCTTGCTGCTCTTGGTCTCTTTACTGTAGCTTGGCATACGCTGTCTCATCGCGTGTGCCGTTCCTTCTTCCTACCACTGCCACGCTCCCCGTTTCCCTCTCTTCTCCTCTCTTCTCCTCTCGTCTCGTCTCGTCTCCTCTCCCCTCCTCTCCTCTTCTCTCTTCTCACCCTGCCTCACCTTCCCTCTGCAGCTCCACCTACACACCATTCATCTTTCCTCTCCCCTCTGCCACACACACACCTCGCTGCCCTGCCTGTGTGAGATAAGCCGATCTTGCAAAGCTACCACCGAATCCCTCTGCTTCCCCTACGCATCGCTCCCCTGCCTGCAGTGTCGTCCCCACGGCACGTGGACAGCAATCAGACCAAGGGGTACGGCTTTGCGGCGTTCCTCCTATGAAAAAACCCTTTGCTGCGCCTACACATCCCTCCGTGCCCTGCCTGCAGTGTCGGTCCCCCGGCACGCGGACAGCAATCAGACCAAGGGGTACGGCTTTGCGGCGTTCCTCCTATGAAAAAACCCTTTGCTGCGCCTACACATCCCTCCGTGCCCTGCCTGCAGTGTCGGTCCCCCGGCACGCGGACAGCAATCAGACCAAGGGGTACGGCTTTGTGGAGTTTGTCCGATCTGACGACGCTGATGCAGCTCAGAAGCATCTTGACGGCCAGGTGCCTTCCCTCCTCCTCCTCCCCTCAACTTTACTTCCCAATGCGTGTATTGTTGTACGTCTCTTGCCCCGTTGCTCTTTTGCCGTACCTCTCTTGCTGTAGGTTGCCCTCGTTTTGAGGTACTGGAAAGGCCTTTTGTGAGACGCCCAAATGATTTCCTAAGCGCCTAGAATATGGTTCTTGAACAACACCTCTCCGTCCCCTTCGCTCCACACACACACATCTGTCCAGAGCCGCCCCATCCCTCCACCGTGCGCACTTACCTTTTCACTCCTCCCTGCACCTCCCCACCTGTTTGCACCGCTCAGCGCCTGGGCATGATGGTACTGCGCGTGACCCGTGCCTCCCCTCGCGCACAAGGAGGAGGGTGGGGGGGAGGAGGAGGTGGAGGAGTAGGAGGAGGACGAGGGGGAGGAGCACGAGGAGGGTGGGGTGGAGGAGGGGGAGGAGGAGTGCGGGGAGGGTGGGGTGCAGGAGGAGGAGGCAGAGGAGGAGGAGCAGGAGCAGGAGGGGAGCGAGGACGAGGGTGGGTAGGACCAGGTATAGCACCAGGGGGAGCAGGAGGAGCAGGGGCAAGTAGAGCAGGGGCAGGGGGGGGGCAGGTAGAAGGGTTGGGGACAGCAGGAGCAGCTGCGGCTGTGGGGACAGAGGCAGGGAACAAAGCAACAGAAGCGGCAGCAGAGGCTTTACGGCAGCAGCATCAGCAGCAGCAGCAGCATCAGCAGCAGCAGCATCAGCAGCATCAGCAGCAGAAGCACCAGCCAGCAGTTGACGATGCCTGGAGAATATAACTTTTAGTCCCGAGTCCCTCCCATCACTGCTGTAACACTAGTGGTAGGTACTAGGTACCGTTGTATTGTTGCGGATTCACCCTTGACCAATGACCGCCATCATTGACAGTCGCTGCAGCATTCTCCGTTGCAGTCTCCGTTGCAGTCTGCAGAGCACTGAAAGAATTAGCTTACCCATATTAGTACACTATATAGCTAATCCACTCGCTGCTTGTTGCCCGGTTCGAGCTAGTTGCTGCATAGTAACAGGGGCGGGCCATGCACTGCCAGAGCAGCGCATTGCTGCAGCTTCATGTTTTCCTGTGTCTTGAAATGGGAGAGCTACAGTAATCAAATTCAGTGCAGCTGTTGATACCGTAGGTGCAAAACCAACGTGACCTGGGCTGGGCCTGGTACAGTACAAGTCATGATACTGGCAAGACTATACTGGCACCACATGAGGAGGTTACCTCCCAGCAGCAGTGTCAGCAGAAACAGACACAAGGATATTACAGAAAGAATGGAAGAAAGGAAAATGAAGGAAAGAAGCATTGTTTTAAGTTACGCAGTATGGCACGTGCCTCGCTACGGCAAAAAGTTACCATGCTGCACGCACTGCCTTGTGGAGCAGAAACGAGTGCATCTCCTCAAGCAAGGGTGGCGCGAGACGAGAGGAGAGGAGTGTACTGCACTAGTGAAGTGCCACTGTGCTGCTGAGCTGCTGTGCTGCTGAGCTGCTGTGCTGCTGAGCTGCTGTGCTGCTGAGCTGCTGTGCTGCTGAGCTGCTGTGCTGCTGTGCTGCTGAGCTGCTGTGCTGCTGAGCTGCTGTGCTGCTGTGCTGCTGAGCTGCTGTGCTGCTGAGCTGCTGTGCTGATGAGCTGCACTGCTCCCAGTTGAGTACTTGCCATGCCACGCCACCCATCTTGGTCCTCATGCCATCCCCTTGCATGTATAGGTACAGCTGTATAGATAGATAGACCCTTGCTGCTGCATGAAGGCCAGCTTTCTGCCTTCACTGGCAGCTGCTGTAGGGCTGACACTAGGGGAGCGATCAATGTTACAAGTGGCACTGGCAGGAGGGTATAGGGCAGCTTTTTTAGGAAATGCTGCAGAACTGTGGTGGAGTGTCGTCCAGCTCGCTAAGTCATACCTTGCAGGTGTGGTGTGGTGTGGTGCAGTGTGGTATGGTGTGGTGGGGAGTGGTTTGGTGAGGTATAGTGTAATGCTGCATATGCGACAATATACTGTGGGTTGCATCAGCAGCCAGAGATTGAAGCGATTGCAACTGCCGCTCTTGCCACACCACCTGCTGCTGCTGCGGCTGCTGCTCATGGTATCACTGGTAGAACCATGGTGAAATATTTCTCAACAATGCTTCACCAATCTGCTGCCGGAGAAGCCAAAACTTTTGAGGCGTCTCAAAAGGCTGCGGCTGCTGCTCATGGTATCACTGGTAGAACCAACCATGGTGAAACATCTCTCAACAATGCTTCACCAGTCTGCTCCTGCTGAAGCCAGTTCCACTCCCACCTTTCCCAACCCCTCTTCCCACTGCTGCTCCTCCCTTTCACTTTCCCTTTTCATCTCCCTCCAAGCACTTCATCGTCGCATCTCGCCCGCCCGCCCTCACCCTGCACCTTCACCTTCCAGCACGCACGTTCTTCTCGCCCCATCCCCCCTCGCTGACATGCAGCTCCGGCAGCATCTGCTCCACCACCTCCATCGCCTCCTCCTCACGTGCACCCCACTCACCCTTTTCACGCGCCTCGCAAGGGCCTTCTTCCTCTTCCACCACCACATCCATCGCCCCCTCGCTCCCATTGCACGCACGAGCAGACACGTCCTGGGATGTGAGGGCGGTTGCGCTGCTGGCACCCTGCTGCACGGGCCTGCCTTGCATCCCCTGCCCCACCAGTACCACCTGCGGTGGCTGCTGCTGTGGGTGCTGCGGGTGCTGCTGCTGTTCCTGCATGGGAGCAGGAGCAACAACATGCCCACCACCACCACCAACAGCACCACCACCACCAACAGCACCACCACCACCAACAGCACCACCACCACCAACAGCACCACCACCACCAACAGCACCACCACCACCAACAGCACCACCACCACCAACAGCACCACCACCACCATTAGCTTCACCACAACCAGCCTTCTCCTCTCCTCTTCCAACCCCTCCTCCTCCACCCCTTCCTCCTCCACCCCCCTTCACTTCCCCTCCCCCTCTCTCCAATCCCACACCCGCCACACCCCTCCCCCCGTCCTCTCCCTCCACACCCACCTCCACCCCACCACCCATCCCCTCCCACTCCACCCCAACGCCCTCCCCCCCAATCGCTCCCAGCACCCTCACAATCTCATCAAACTCAGGCCTATCTCCGGGATCCCGCGCCCAACACCTTTCAATCAGCCTCCTCACCCCCGCATGGCACCCCGGCGGCAGCGGCGGCCTTAACCCATTCAGCGCCACAGCCACCGCGGCCTGTAACGGAGAGTAGTCCTCGTAGGGTAACCGCGCGGTGAGCAACTCCCAGAGGACGATTCCGAAGCTGTACACGTCGCTGCGCTGAGTCACGGTCCATTGGCCCGTGGTGCCGAAGGCCTCTGGGGCCATCCAGCGGTAGGTGCCCACTTCTTTGGTCATCTCGGCGCGTTCCCGGATGAGCCGTGCCACGCCGAAATCGCCTACCACTGCCCGCCCCTGCTCGTCCAGGAGAACGTTTGCCGGCTTGAGGTCCCTGGTGGTTGGGCGCGGTGAGGAGGGGTTGGACGGGGTGGAGGGGGTCGGGGGAATGGAGACGTGAGAAGGAAAGAGAGCGGTTTTTTAGGCGCCTAAAAAATCCCCTAGGGTGCCGAAGGCTTCAGGGGCCATCCAGCGGTAGGTGCCCACTTCTTTGGTCATCTCTGCACGTTCCCGGATGAGCCGTGCCACGCCGAAATCGCCTACCACTGCCCGCCCCTGCTCGTCCAGGAGAACGTTTGCCGGCTTGAGGTCCCTGGTGGTTGGGCGCGGTGGGGAAGGATTGGTGGAGAGAGTTGAGTTGAGGAGATGAAGAGGGGAGCGAGAGAGAGGCAAGGAATAAGCGCAGTCCACAGGTTGAAACACACAGTTGGATAAAGACCACCTCGTGCAGAAGTCTCACTACCCATCTGAACACCCACGGTCCCTCCAAGCACCCATGTCACTCCCTATTCACACACACCTAACACACACCCACCTAACACTCACCCAACACCCACCTGGCATCCGTGCAGCACATACCTGTGAATGATCCCATGGCGGTGCAGAAACCGCATCCCCAACGCCACCTCCATCGCCACCTTCACCAGCTGCGGCAGCGGCAGCCCCACGCCATGCCTCCGCCTCAGCACATCATGCAGGTTCCCCCCTTTCATCAGCTTCGTCACGATACACATCCGCTGCCTCATATCCACACACACCCCGTAAAACTTCAGCAGATAAGGGCACTCCCCGCACGACACCAGCGTCACCACTTCCCTCCGAAACTCTGCTCTTGCCGTATGCGCCTCATGCCTTTCCGCTTTGAGTACCTTCACAGCAACCTCTCTTCCCTGGTAGCGTCCGCGCCGCACCTCGCCTGAGGCGCCCACAGCGAGCACGTGGCCGATGTCGAGGCGGATGGGGTCGAGCATGAACTTGCCTAGCTTTTCTTTCATCGCGCCCTGCTCCGATAGCAGCAGCTGCAGCAGCCCGCCGCCTGGTTCACCTCCTGCTGCTGCTGTTCCTGCTCCTGCTGCTCCTCCTCCTCCTCCTGCTGCTGCTGTTCCTGCTCCTGCTGCTCCTCCTCCTCCTCCTGCTGCTGCTGTTCCTGCTCCTGCTGCTCCTCCTCCTCCTCCTGCTGCTGCTGTTCCTGCTCCTGCTGCTCCTCCTCCTCCTCCTGCTGCTGCTGTTCCTGCTCCTGCTGCTCCTCCTCCTCCTCCTGCTGCTGCTGTTCCTGCTCCTGCTGCTCCTCCTCCTCCTCCTGCTGCTGCTGCTGCTGCTGCTGCTGCTGCTGCTGCTGCTGCTGCTGCTGCTGCTGCGGCTGCCCCTCCTGCTGCTGTGGGTGCTGCTGACGCTGCTGCTCCTTCTGCCATCGCACCTGTACCAGTTTCGCCGGTGTGTTCTGCAATGACGATGCGCGGAGCAGCAGCACCAGCAGCAGTGAACCTGCCAGTGGACCCGAACCTGTGAGCACCACCCAGACCCAGGCCACTCACCGGCTTCATCACTCCCACCATCACTCTCCCAGGCGTCCGCCCCTGCTCCCTCCTCCCTGCTCCCTCTCCCTCTCTCTCTCCCTCTCCCTTCCCCTCCCTCGCTCCCTCTCCCCCTCCATGCCCTTGCAGCTGTCCTTGTGCGACCACACCTGCTGCTCCTTCTGCCTGCACACATGCCTCTACTAGTCTCTCTCCTCCCGAACGCCCCAGTTCACTTGCATGTACCTGCGCAGTCAACGCCTCCTTACCTTCACCCTCACACTTCTCCTCACCCTGAACCTTACCCTTACCCGCACTCTCCTTCTTACTCGCCCGGTTGCTCCTCTCCGTCCCACGCCCCCGGCTCTTCACATAGAACAGCACACCCCCGCGCCCACTGCCGCTGCCGCTGCCACTGCTGTCACCAAGCTCACCAGCACCACCACCAGCAGCAGCAGCAGCACCAGCAGCAGCGGCACCTGCTCCTCCTCCGCCTCCGCGTGTCCCATCTCCAGCGTTAACCAGAGCATCGCTGTCGTCCACCCTCGCCTCTATCTCCATGCCTTGCCAAGCTGCGGCGGCCCCTGCTGCCCCTGCTGCCCCTGCTGCCCCTGCTGCCCCTGCTGCCCCTGCTGCCCCTGCTGCCCCTGCTGCCCCTGCTGGTTCGAGAACCGTACTCGGTGCAGCCACATCACCACCACCACCGATTCCTCGCTCTGCATTCCCTGCGGCTGACACCAGAGCAGCACGCGCATCACCAGACGCAGCAGCAGACGCAGCAGCTGACGCAGCAGCAGGCGCGGTAGGAGGGGAGGCTGCAGCATAATAAGGCACGGGACTGGCAGCAGGGGAGGAGAGAGACAGAGGCGAGAGCGACACACCCGCCGCCGCCGCGACAGCACCAGCAGTAGCGGCAGCAGAAGCAGAGGAGGAAGTGGAGGCTTCGATATGAGTAGGGGCCTTTCTGCTGGATAGACCCAGCAGCAGCGAGTCAAACATCGCTCCTGCTGCCTTTCTTCCCGAGTAACGAAACCCCCACTTCTCCTTCTCCCTCTCCTTCTCCTTCTCCCTCTCCTTCTCCTTCTCCCTCTCCTTTTCCCTCTCCCTTTCCCTCCCTTTTTCCCTCTCCCTCTCCTCGCTCTCCCTCTCGTCCCCCTCCCACCGAAACCCCCTCTTCTCCCTCTCCCTCTCCCGCTCCTCCCTCTCCCGCTCATCCCTCTCCCGCTCCCGCTTCTGCCGCACCCGTCTCCCGCCTCGCCTGCCCTTCCCTCCCCCGTGGGTGCTGTCCCCATTGCCCCCCGGGTCAGGTCGTTTCCAGAGCGAGGAAAGAGACCCAGGCACGCTACTAAGACCACTTACACCACTTACACCACTTACACCGCTTGCACCGCTTGCACCGCTTGCACCGCTACCTGCACTTGCCCCGGCACTCGCCGCAGCACTAGCCCCACCAATACTCCCCCTGCCAACGCTCCCCCCACCTCCCTCTCCCCCGCCTCTCCTCCCCCGCCCCCACCTCCCGCGGTTGCCCCTGCGCTCCGCCCCTTGCACTTCCCCCATCCGCACATCCCCTGATTGTGAACCGCCGACACGTTCCCCCCATCCTGCCACTGCTCCTCCCCCTGCTGCCCCACTGAGATTAGCTGCTGCTGCTGTTGCCGCACCTCCTTTGCCGGTTCCGCAGGAACTACCAGCAGAGGCGACGGCAGCGGTGGCAGCAGCAGCTCCCACTTTACTAAGAGTGTCTCTTATCTGCCTCTCATCCACCTGCTCGTTCTTTGGTAGAATGAGGCACATCCATCCCAGTGTGGCTGTGTCATAGGGAGGAGGGACGGTACCCACCCCAGCAGGGGGGGCAGCGGAGGGCGCGGAAGGGGAACGCGCAGAGGGGAAAGCGGGGGCAGATGAAGGGGAGGGCGCAAGCTGCACCGGCGGAACAGCCTGCGCGCAGGCGGAGGGGGAGAGGGCGGAATGAGCGCCGCCCGCAGGGCCAGTTCGTGGAGAGATTGCGGGGGAAGTGGGTGGCAGGGCAGGGTGGAAGAGGACAAGCGAAGCCGGCCGCATGCCCGCCTGGGAGAAGGCTGATAGCAGCAGATGCCTGCACAGGTGGATGTTACACGCCCATGCTACCTCCACGCACACATGCTGCTGCTGCTGCTGCTGCTGCTGCGACGGCAGTGCGCCCGAACTCCCCAGAAGGCTCATTGCGCCAGTGCCCCCCACCAGAGCACCTTCCGCGCTTCTCCAGGTCCCCGCACCACCACCACTCCCTGCACCATTCAACGCTCCCCCTGCTCCCGCTGCGCCGCCTGCGCCGACTGTGCCTGCTGCGCCCGCAGCTCCCCCTGCGCCGCCTGCGCCGCCTCCGCCCGCGCCCGAGCACGTGGAAAAGGTAGCGCCGGACGCGGTGGTGGCGGCGGAGGTGAAGGACGAGTCGCTGCCCGCGTCGTCCAGCATCAGCGCGCGCATCGGCATGTGTATCGCCATGTGCGCGCTGATCCCCGCCAGTCCCCCCGCCCCCGCCGTCCCCGCTGCCCCCGCCGCCTCCGCTGCGCCCGCTGGTTCCTTCCTTGCGCTGCCTCCCGCGGAAGCCGTTTCCCCTTCCGCCGCCGACGGTGCTACCGCCGCTGCCGGTCCCCCCGCTGCTGCTGCTGCTGCGGCGGCACTCTGTGCTGCGGCGTCGTCATCCTCTCTTGCAGCTGAAACCGCCGCCGCTGCCGCCGCCTGCGCCGCCGCCGCGAGCGCGGCTGCGCTGTGGGGCCCGGTAGTGTCTAGGAGCATAGGGGATGCGGACGCGGAAGCGGAAGCGGAGGCGGAAGCGGAAGCGCCGGCAGACGCGGGCGCGTCATGGCGGAGAGGCATTGGCGGGGTTGCGGAAATCCCTTCCCCCCACGGCGCTTCGCGCTCTAGCTGGTAGTTGTCTCCGTGGCAGTGGCGGAGAGCAATGTCGACCGCGGGCGCGCCAAGCGGAAGAGCGGCGGCCTGGCGCAGCAAGCGCACGTGCGCTAGCGCCGCGTGCGGGGAGGAGAGACTGTCGATATAGCTGGAGGTTGGGAGCAGAGAAGGAGGGGGAGTGGGGGAAGCGAAAGGGGAGTGGACAGAGAGAAAGGCTAAGATTAGAAGGGGGAAGGAAGGGAAAGGGATTAGGTCGGTTGGCCACGGAAGGTCAGAACATATCCAGTTTAGTCCAGCGACTCGTTAACAGAACGGACGGACAAACGGAGACGGACTGACGGGCGAGGGTGGACGAAGGACAAACGGACGGACGGACGGACGGACGGGCGGGAGAAGAAACTCGTCGGTTGCATGAGTTGCGGAGGTTAGTAAGGCTAAGGAGGGGCAGCAGCGCACGTGGGCGGGAGCGCGTGGAAGTGCAGCGAGAGCGCGCGCGCCAGCGCTGTATCCACGGGCACGCCGTCGCGCAGCATGCGCCGCACCACCGCCCTGCACGCCGCCTCCCGCGGACACCGCTCGTCCAACCCCATCCCCATCCCCATCTCCGCCTCCTCGCATTCCCCCAATACTCCTCCTCCTCCGGCCCCTCTGAATCCTTTTCCTTCCGCTCCTTGCGCTCCTTGCGCTCCTTGTGCTCCTTCCCCTTCCCCTCCACCTCCCCCTCCTTCGCCGCCGCGGGCCCCGCCGGTCCCGCCGGCGCCGCCACGTGTGTTGTGAAAATCCGTCGACATCTCCGCGCACTCAGATCCCGCTAACCTTCCCGCACTCGCCGCCGCCGCTGCCGCTGGGCTTCCGAGTCCCACTAGTCCTAGAACCACCGTTCCCAGTGTTGACCTGTTACCGCCGTCCTTATGACCGCCCCTGTTGCTGCATTCCCGACCGTCCCTGTTGCTGCCTTCCTCCTTGTTCCCCCAACCACCCTCCTTGTTCCCCCTGAAACTCCCCTCTTTGTTACCCCTAATGCTCCCCTCCTTGTTCCCCCTATTGCTCCCTTCCTTGATCCCCCTAAAACTCCCCTCCTTGTTCCCCCTGAAACTTCCCTCATTGTTCCCCCTAATGCTCCCCTCCTTGTTCCCCCTATTGCTGCCCTCTTTTTGGAAAGCGGAAGACGCTCCGCCGCGCAGGGAGCGCAGGACGCCGAGCGCGGACGGCAGGAGAGGCGCTTTGGCGCGGGAAACGCCGGCGGGGCTGACTGCGTTACGCGCGTTGATATCCGCCGCGCTGCCCGCGTTGCCGCAGTCGTTACCGCTTCCGCCAAAGCCGGCGCCGGTGGTAGTCGGCACGACCTTGGTACTACCGATCTTGCCGGCGGTGGAAGCGGCATTAACGCCGATGCCTTCTGCGGGTGTGAACCACGGCGGTGCGCCCCGAAACTCGCGCCTTTCCGCTTCCCCTGCGCGCGCCTCCGCCGCCGCCGCCGCCGCCGCCGTCGCCGCCGCCTCCGCCTCCGCAACCACCTCCGCCTCCGCCAAAGCAACCGTCGGAAAACCGCGAAACGTGGCACTGGGCAGCGCAGGCCGGACAGCTCGGACCGCGATACGCGACGTCAGATACGGCGGCAGCGGCTAAGCAGCATTGCGCGGTGTGGGTTTTCTCACTAGAGGCGGTGGTCGAGGCTGGGACAGGGGACGAGGTGGCGCGGAATAGACTGACCATGGTAGACGGTAGCGCGCGATTGGACGGGACGGATAGTGGATTCGAAACGGCGAGGACGAGAGACGCATAGAGGAAGAGGGGGAACTCCTAGGAACGAGGTAAAGGCTACGCGGGTGCGGGAGAGGGTGCTCGCAGATAGATGGTGAGGGTACGTTGGTGACGCCGCGCGAGTCCTGGGAGAACGGCAGGAGAAATGACACGCACGCCTGGGAGGGAGAAAAACGGCTGCATGAAGCAAAGAATGCACTGCTGCTACTAGAACAAGGCGAAAAGGACTAGGTCATGCGCTGGAAAGCATAGCCTAGGTTTCCTATCACATGGTCTGACCAGGATAGGTTTGTACAAGTCCCGCAAGCGAGTCCCACCAAATTGGAGGCTGGTTGTGGCATCTTGGAGGGATCACATGCGCACGACAGCAGGCATGGAGGCTTGGGTCGGATTCGTTCGTCGCCCGCTTTCCCTGTGTGGTTGGATAAGGCGACGTCAGGTCAGAAGGGGAATGTTGCGAAAGGTTTCCCCACACCACAACTTTTTCCATCCAGGAGGACGTTCTCGCTTTGGCTCGTGTACGAATGAAAAAGCGAGAGGAGAGGAGGGAGGGAACCTTTTCTGTGGATGGGTGTTTTGGGGACAGGTGTTACCTGAAGACAACCACCCTTCCACCTCCATTACCGTATTCGAGACGTCAAGGTTGCCCGCTCATAACCGCAATGACCGATGGGTATGGGTCACTCTGAACAAGTCTTCCTCTCACATCCACCAAGCACAGTCGTTCCTCTCATGTTACATCGTTCCACCTCTACTGTAATCCAAGATCGCGAATCTGTCGCAGGGACCTCAACTGCACGGTACTTTTTCTTGGAGATTTTTGCCCCTCTTAAATAGAAAATCTAATCAAGAATAGCTAGGGTATGAGATGAAGGCAGCGGGTCAATTGTATCGCACTTCAAAACCTGCCCAATATTCTTTACCTTTCAGTCGAGAATAAACGCAAAGATTTCGGTAAAGGTTTCACCAAAGGAGCTCTGCCCAGCTGGCCTGCCCTGGAAATGTGGTTCCCGCTGCCTGCCAAAAGTGTCACGCTGGCACTTGAAAAACCACGTGGTAACCTTTGCTATGTTGGAGCCTGGCCCTTGCCACGTGCAGAGGTTCGGGCTTTTTGATTGGCTGATCCTTACAAAAACGACCATCATCGTTCTTTTGTGGCACACACGTGGTATCGTCTCCATGGCGGAGTCCGAAACATTTTACTGTGCATATCAATTGTACACGCCACTCTTTCATAGTACACGCAAAGAGAATGAGATATTCCTAAACACGTTTTACCATAGTCCGTTGATAAGCACGTCGTTAAGTCCATTGCGCCCTAAGTTTGGGGTAAAACATCCATTGATAAAAACATGTCAGCTTGAATTTTCTTGCATATGCAATATACAATATTTAATAATTTGCAGGATGTTTTAGTGTACCTCAACTGAGGCCTCGATTGAGCAACAATAAATTATTCATACACAGCATACACAGGAAATATATGGTACACAGATACCGGTAGTTCTATTTGGTAATATATGTTTAGTATACTCAGTACCCCCTTTCATCTTGGCACACAGATGTAATCAGCTCCAACATTTTTTGCACAGTAGTGTTTGTTATATGTATAGAAGTCCTTCGCTGCAATGGTCATATTGCGGTTATAGAATCTGTAGGAACCGGAACACGTGAGCGATGGCGACACCGTCCTTTCCAGGCCCTTCTCACACCTTCCAAGCTCAAACGACCAGTACTCCGCCCTGAGGCACACCTGGGGCAGCAAGATACGTGCAAGAAGGGACACAAGGTTTTTGGGAAGAAAAATGCCTGGCAATGCTGATATTGACTGATAACTCCAGTTAACGCCTCCCAACTTCCCTCCCCTCCACCTATCCCCCCCACATCCCCTTCCCTTGCCTCCATCTCCCTCCTATTTCCACCCCTCACCTGCACGCCAATGTTGCTGCCAACAGCAGAGGCAGAGCCAGGGACGGTGTTGGAGCAGACGAGGCCGGGGTTGTTGCGGTAGAGCTCGGCCCAAAAGTGGGGCTCAATCTTCAAGTTTTTCGACCCCTTGAGCAGGCTCTCGCAGGTGTCCTCTGCTGTGAGTGTGGCGTACTTGACACACTTGGGGGCCGTGTAAGCGTATGTGGCGTTGCGCTCCACACAGAGGGAGCGGCCGGGCTTGATGGCTTGCGTGCAGGAGAGGCCCGGGTTGAGAGCCATGAGGTCGTTCTTTGTGCGACCAATGGATGCGGCTATGGACTGACATGTGTCGCCCTGGTGGGGAGAGAGAGAGGCATGGAGGGAGGGAGAGAGAGGGACAGCAGATGAGTGGGGATGAGAGGGGATGAGAGGGGATGAGAGGGGATGAGAGGGGATGAGAGGGGAGGAGAGGTGAGGAGAGGGGATGAGAGGGGATGAGAAGGGATGAGAGGGGATGGAAGGGGACGAGAGACGAAGGTGAAGTTTGAGCAGATGATGGGAAGGCCATTGAAAATGATGCATGACGGATGATGTGCACTAAGAATGACCTTGATTATGTTTGATGTGACATGGCAGAGAGTAGGAGGTGCTGCTGCTGATGCATGGCGCTGCAAGCAATCTTTCAAAACATATTGTTGAAAGTTGGGATAAACAGGCAGAGAAGCAGTATGGGACGAGCAGCGACTTCAGCCACAGCACTCTCGGCACCTTGGGAGCTGGGAGGTCACACTGAAAGAACTTTTGAGGATTCTCAAAAGTGATTTCAACATACCTTGGGTTGGGAGCATGGATGGAGCTCACATTGAGGGTGTAGAAGAAGGCAGTGCAGGGGATGGGGGGAATGCCCGCAATCTGAAGCACTGCTCCTCTAGGCAAAGGTGCACTGCAGTTTACATCCTGCGTTGAGGAGGACAAGTGTGGAAGCACAAACATAAAAACGCTTGGATTCACAAACTGCCAGGGCTGCTTCCATGCTACGGAGAAGACAAAGAAGCCAATCTGCAAGCTTATCTGCAAGAACATCTGCAAGCCCAACGGTTATTCCTCAATTTTTACAATACTACCATGCACCTGACTGCATCCATCCCAGCTCAATCCACCCCTCCGCTCTTCCTGAACCTTAGTGCCTCCCCTCCTCGGCCAACTACCCTCTCTGTACTGCATCCCCCCATGCCAGCGTCCCAAGCCAGTGTGTCCCCCTCCACTTACTGCGTTGCTGCTCTTGAACTGCGCAAGTGTGACGCCCATAATCGGATGCACGTTGCTGCACAACCAGTTGTCTCCGTCGACCGTCATGGTGGTGACGCTGGCATTGACTGCAGCAAGGTACGGCAACGTCGCACAATGGGGAAGAGAGGGAAGGAGAAGAACAGCACATATATCATATGCCCTGCCAGAGCAGACCACACACTCGAACACATCAGGAGGCCAGAGGCGGGTGGATAAGCAAAGGGGCTGGCTGCAGAGGCCAGAAGCAGCTGTAGAGGGCAGAGGCCTTGTGGGTGTAAGGGGCAAACGATGCTGGGACACATCAGGAGGCCAGTGGGCTTGTGCGATGCAAGCGAAAGGGAAGAGGAAGCACGTGGTTGGCAGGGGGAGGAGGGAGCAGCAGTAGAGCGCACCTGGGACAAAAGTAGGCAAGAGCGGCATCTGGCTGGTTGTCAAGGGGAAAGGGAGCAGCAGTTGGCCTCACCTGGGTCGCATGTAGGGAGGAGCAGTGATTTAACATACCTGGGTCGCAGGTGGGGAGGAGCAACACCTAAGTCGACAGTACCTGGGTCGCAGGTGGGGAAGGGGAGCACTGAGCAGCAGGTAACCTCACCTGGGTCACAGGTGGGGAAGCAGCAGCAGTTGACCTCACCTGGGTGAGTGATTAACCTCACCTGGGTCGCAGGTGGGGAAGCAGCAGCAGTTGACCTCACCTGGGTGAGTGATTAACCTCACCTGGGTCGCAGGTGGGGAAGCAGCAGCAGTTGACCTCACCTGGGTGAGTGATTAACCTCACCTGGGTCGCAGGTGGGGAAGCAGCAGCAGTTGACCTCACCTGGGTGAGTGATTAACCTCACCTGGGTCGCAGGTGGGGAGGGAGCAGTAGAGCGCACGCACCTGGGTCGCAGGTGGGGAAGTCGTCGATGGTTCGGCTGGGGACGTGGTTGGGAGGGCAGATGCAGGAGTAGGAGCCCTTGCCATCGTTGATGCATGTGCCCACGGCACATGGGTTCTTGAAGTATGACCCACACACGTCCACTGAGGGTAGTAGCGAGGGGTGGGGCAATGAGGGTTACAGAGCAGGGGTTCTTGAAGTGCGACCCACACACGTCCACTGCCATTAAGAGTAAAAGGGGGGGTGGAAGCGGGGGAGCTGAAGGCTAAAGGATGCTTCAAGTATACGACCCACACACGTCCACTGCCATGCATGGTAAGAGGGGGGTGGTAACGGGGGATAATGTGGGGCTGAAGTCACTGCCATAAAGGGCAAGCGGGGTGGAAGAGGGGGATTAGTAGGGGGCTGAAGGCTTAAGAAGTGCCTCAAGCACAGCGCGAACACTTCCACTGCAGGGGGCGTTACTAAGCATGTGGAAAACATGCGATTCTCACCATAAGCACACGTCTGGGGGCCATAGTTGCTAAGGACTGGGACAAAAGGCTGCTTGGGCTAAGCGGCAAGCGAGGACTCTTGAGGCAACTCAAAAGAAAATGCACGAGTCTCACCATAGGCACATGTCTGGGCGCCATAGTTGCTAAAGACTGGGACAAAGGGTTGCTTGGGCTGAGACGCAAGCGAGCATGTGCACATGCTGGTGTCCGTCTGTGCAATGGGCGTGCATGTGAATCGGCCACACGGGTTCATGCTGGGCTGCAAGTCACCATCGCCTTTGTAGCTCTTGGTACCACACGGATCCCCCGGGACTGCAAGGAGACAACGAGGGTGGAGGAAAAACGGGGGAGTAACAAAAAAAAACACTGGGTGAACTTTCACAGAAAGCGGAAACTTTGGATATTTTTGAGAGAAAGGTGGCTTATAGGCGGCTTACAATAAGTGATAAGTGGAGAAAAAAGTGGATGGGCCTCACTCTTGACAATGGGGTAGATGCCAGGCAGCACGTTGATGCCACACACGCCATCCCCTCCCTGAATGTCCATGCGCATGTGGCCCCTGTCGCCCCAGCCCTCGCCCCACGAGTTGCGGATGATCCAAAACGGCGGAGCAATGCGACTCTGACTGCCGTCGTCTCGGAGAATGAAATATCCCACCAGCAGCACCACGTGGTTCAGGTTGCCGCTGTAGCACGCAGGGTCTTGGTACTTGAACGTCTGGCACAGGGATGCGAGGGAGAAGAGAAGGGAGAAGGGAAGAGAAAATGCAAGGAATGCAAGAACCGCTAAAATTGCAAGAAATCTCAGCAAACATGTGACCACAGCTCTCAAACAACGCAGTATGAAATGCTTTCAGAACGATGGACACTCACAAGATTGTACTGAACGAACAAGACCAACAGAACGAAGGCGCACTCAAGTCAACAAACACAACTTCAAACACACACCTTGCGTACCGAAGAAAAGACTGTGCACAACACAACAAGTTCCCAAAGCACCTAACAAATATGCCCAACATTGAATTGATGCCCCCAACTCATCGGTCAACCATACCCCGTCATACGAAGCGAACGTGTCAGCAGAAGCTTCAATGTGAACCACCACTGGCTGCCGCTGCACTGCCAGCATGAGCCCCACATGCCCCTTGAATGATGCGCGCTCGAATCCCTGAATAGGATACTTTTTCCCCTGCGATTCATAGATGTTGTGGCATTCGAATTATGCAGGCCATAAATGAAGGAAAAACACTCAAATATCTCAATAGGGTGCTTCTTCCTGTGACGTTTAAAAACAACCACATTGTGTGGGAAGCAAGCAGAGTACAAGAGCATGAGAACACATTGTGTAACAACGTTACCTGTTTTCCACACTTGTGTGGCGACAATATTCCATTGCTACCACACTGTTGCGGAACTAATTTGTTGCTACCACACTGTGTTGTGCGTACCGGGTTACCGTCCAAGGTGAGTCCCCCTTTTGGCAGAGTAAGAAGCTTTTCAAAGGCATCAGTCGGGGAGCCCCCAGCGGTGCACTTGTCCCCTTTGCTGAGCCCCATGGCTGCAAAGAGTGAGTCCACTGACAGCTGCGGCGCCTCTGCATTCGTTGCGATGCCGTATGCTGCTTCTATGCTCGCCACCACTGCATATGCCCAGCACGCCTCTGAAGGAGAGAGCACGAGAAAAAAGTGCGGATTGGGGGCCCTCAGTTTACAAGGAGTTTTTGAAAAAAGGCGACCAGCATGCATTGAAGGAGTGCATTGGAAGCAATGCGAATGAAGGGGTTGAAGCTGCGATGCATGAACCTTCTTTAACTTCAACTTCAACTTCAAAACTTCGATCAGGGATAGATCTCCTACCCCCCGTTACGGTTGTCAGGATAACCGGTTACAATAGTGCTCCATTTTCACTCGATACGTGGCCACAAATTAGGGTAAGGCAGGTGCAGAGCAGCAGAGACAAGAATGCCCTCATCCCTCTCACCTTTTGACCAGCCCCCCCTCTTCTCTCAACTAAGGCCCCCCATAACACTCACTGCAGTCGGCCTGGTTCTTGACGGGCCAGTGGGGACAATGCCATTACGGTTACACTCACTGCAGTGCAGTCCGCCTGGTTCTTGTCCTCACCCCTTCCACCTTGACCAGCACCCCCCCTGCTTCAACTAAGGCCCCCCTGGTGGCATGCCACTCACTGCAGTCGGCCTGGTTCTTGACGGGCCAGCCGAGGAAGGGCACGGAGTCCCAGGAGTGGAGGTCCCTGAAGACCCACGAGTCCTGCTTGTTGGCCGCCACCCGGTAGTCCGCACTCACATAGCGCGGGAACGGGCTCGCCCACGCCGGTGCATACGTGCTCACTGTGAGACTCAGGCCCAGGGCTGAGTGGGAGCAGAACAAGTGTTGGAAGGAGTATTGAGAGAGAGGGGGCGGCAGCGAAAGGAGGGAGGTGGGAGGGGAGGGAAAAGGGGTGGTGAAGTGGCAGGAGTGAGCAGATTGGGAGATGCTTTATCATATTGGAAAAAGAGCAGGAAGACTGTTGGAGAGCGCTCGGCTCGGCAGGAGGTGAAGAGGAGCAACAGGGAGAGGCAGAGAGGGAGCGCTGCCAGCTGACAGGCAAGAGAAGCAGGGCAAGAGAAGCAGGGCAAGAGAAGCAGGACAAGCGGGCAGGGTGCTACCCCGCAAATCAGAGGCTTCTCAGCGTTTAAGCAACACAAATCACGTGATCAAAGTGCTATGCCAAAAGCTGTCTTTTGTGTTGAGGGGCATGCGTACGGAACTGAAAGAGAGGAGGAAGAGGTGGAGGAGGAAGAAGAATCATATCCCAGCAGATAAGTTGGCGTGACTTAAGTTGAGTGGACTTGCCTGAAGGAACGTCAACTGAGACGGGTGGCGGAGGCAGGTCTGTAAAGAGGAGACACGTGCAAGAGACAGAACAGAAGTTGAGGCAGAAGATGAGAAGGGAGTTCAAATAAAGGTTCTAGACATGGAAATTACAAGCTACAACGCTGGCCTGGCCAGGTGCTTTTTGAGTCGACTTAAAAGTCACCTCAGGAAAATGGAGTGGAGTACAAATATAGGTTCTAGACATGGAGATTACAAGCTACAACGCTGGCTTGGCCAGGTGTCTTAGCTTCCAGTCGCCCTACTGATCCACCATAAATGCTGGAAGGGGAATACTGGGATGGCAGTGTGATCAGGGCTTGCGGGTGCAGTGGAATGGTACGGAGTTGGGGGGATTCATACGAAGACCTTTTCAGCACAAACTAATGGCACCGCATATCAAGAGCTTGGAATAGATAGCCTTGCCTGACCTCCATTCCATCTTCCTTCCACATGGCAGGATAACGTGGCCAGCACTTACCAGCGGTCAAACATCTTACCAGCGTGCACGAAGGAGTTGAGAATGGCATGGCTCATGAACGGCTGTACAGTGGTGGACGCCACAAACCCAAAGTAGAATGCCTGCTGCGCCTGCGGCCCATCATCCTCCGCCTGCGGATCCTCCTGCGGTGGGCCCGGCTGCAGCACATCACACAGCGACAGGCGCCTCTCCAGCAGCACCCTCATCGGCTTTTGTGCCCTCTGTCTCACCACCCGCTTCACTATCCTCTTCCCCACCCTCTGCCTTGACCTCGTCACTGTCTCCTTTGCCAGGAAGACCTGGATGGTGCCGGGATCGCCAGGCTGGTAGTCCACCCATGCCGTGTATGCCTGCTTGTTGGCCAGCGGGAACGGCGACTTCACAGCCGCGATTGATATGTCCTGCCCGTTGATATTCAACCCCACGTGCTGATCTTTCATGTCGAGATGCTGGATGTTCTGAAAAACGTCAAACTCGATGGCCATGCTGCGGGGGTCCATCCCGCCGTACCCCACGCCATCGCTGCTCCCCACCGTGGTTGTTGCCGACACCACAAACGCAAACCCGTTGGAAACGGCCTTCCCTTTGGGCGAAAGGACGAAGGTGAAGTTGACGTTAAAGCCCAGCTCGAACCCGCACCCGGGGTCCTCCCGGCCTTTCTCGTACACAAAGAGGGTCAGTGGCTGTTCCATGAACATCCCTCTGGCTTCCTTCTTCGTCCCCGTGGTGAGCACGGTTGCTGGGGGAAGGATTTCCGAGTCAACTGGGGACGCAAGAACCGAGCCTGGACACATGACATGAGGACACATGAGACGGATGGGAAAGAGCATGGTCGGGGAGGAAACAAAGATGGGTTCAGAGCTTAAGGGCTTTGACTGTCGAGAATGTGCACATCTGTGCAAGGTGCTGTTGGCTGGTAGGGTATCGGAGGTCAAGATTCAGTTAGGGACAAACATGTCTGTGCAGCACTAGCTGTGGTGCCATCCATGGCTCGACTTCTGTGCTGTGCTGTGCTGTAATGCGATGTGCTGTGATGTCAGCTGCGCCGTGTAGTGCTGCGCGGTGCTACGCTCTCCTGTGCTGTGCAGTGGCGTGCTGTATCAACGTCTTTCTCGGTAAACTCGAAAACCCCTAACCTTCAATTCAACAAGGCAGTGGATCTCTCCAAAACGAGGTGTATTGTGAGGCGCCTCAAAATACACACACCCCACTGGGTCTTCGCCCATCAGGTGCAGCAGCTATGCCGCCTACGCTGTGCTCTCCAATGCACCAAGGTGTATTTTGAGGCGCCTCAAAATACACCTCACCTCACTGCACCTCTTACCTTCGACAAGGCAGTGGATCTCTCCAAATTTGACAAACCCGTCGTCGCACAAGCAGGTCGGCGCCAAGCTAGGCCCGTCCGGATAGCATAGCCCATGGCCGCCACACGCAACACCACCAGCAGAAGAAGAAGAAGAGGAATTCAACTTGGAAATGCCGCAAAAGGCTTGGCACGCTGATTCGGGCCGCTGCGGCGCCCAGGTAGCCCCGTCAGGCAGGGTGAGGCAGTTGGCGGCCACAGAGGCATCAGAGGGCTCGTTGGTCAAAGTGCCTGAGAGGTAGTTGCTGGATAGGTCCACGGTGCCGGTATCGGGCCTCACTATGGGCCCTGTGAGGTAGTTGTGGGAGAGGTCGCTGGGGAAGGGAGGGCGGAGGGAGATGTGCGGGGGGAGGGAGACGTGTGTGGGAGAGGGGTGGGGGGGGGGGGGGAGACAAGGGACGAGGTCAGGTGGATATGAATGCACTTCAATGCTCTTGTGCGTCCGTTTCAATCCCACATGGTCAGAGGGAATGGGTGTGAAGTGTCTGCAATTAGGTGCTGTACACAAGCCTGCATCCGGCTGTGAGATACGTTGGGTAGATGAGGACCCTTCCAGGGTATTCATGAATACTATATTCATTCTCAAGCAACACGGCAACTGCATGGACCCAAGATTGCGAGATTGCGAGTGTGCAATTTTGGGTGTGTGTCCCATCCGCGGAACTAATGCAAGAGAACGAGAGCAGAGGAACGGACTACTGAGTGCATGGACGGAAGCAGGTGCAAGAGATAGTCCGCAAGTTGATGCAGCTTACAATGACTGCAAAAAACCATGGCTGGTGGTTGTGGTCGGTATGGTTCCATACAGCTGGTTGAAAGCGAGAGACCTGATGTCCACGAGGAGTGAGCGAACGCAGACAAGAAGAGAGGAGAGGGGGGGTTGTGGATTAGGAGAGGGGGCCATGATTGCATTGCTGTATAATGGTGTTATTACTGCTGCCACAGGGGTGAAGTTACACGATCTGGAAATGACATGAGTAATGTTATACAGAGAGCCACATATAGATAGACACCATGTGTGGGGGAATTTGAGCAAACTTTTTACCACTCACAGGCGCATGAGGAAGGTAAGGCTGTCGATCGATGCGGGGATGGATCCTGTAAGCTGGTTCATGTTAAGAAATCTGCACACGTGACAGACAGGTGCATAGACATGTGACGTGACAGTTGCATGCATAGACACAACACCACAACAACACTGCCTGCCGTAATCAGCAACAGATGAACGTTGATCAGTAGAATAAACTGGCCGCTGTTATCTTTTCACACTCACGATCATGCCCTCATGCTCGTTACACCCCTGTGCTCAATCGAACAAAAAATGCAAGATGGGAAGGGCCACGAAGGCAATGAAGGGCCTTTCTCCTTAGTTACAGCCCCCTTTCCCAAGCATGGCCCCTCTCTTACAGTAGCTGGAGATTCTCAAACGAGAAGAGGTAAGCTGGGATGCTTCCACTCAGCTCGTTCTGACTTAGGTCACTGCCACGTGGAGAGAAGGAGAAAGATAGGTAAATATTTTTCAGTTAGCGGGTCACGCCATGCAATGCAAGTGACCCGACAATACTCTGCTGCAAGGTTGCAGAGTGAATGTTCTTGGAAGGATCATGGAAGAGGGCAGGGAGGGAAGGAGGAGAGGAGGAAAGCTAGTGGTGCAAGCCGATGGGGACTTGCTCAGCAAGCCATTTTTTTCTCCGATAATCTGGCTGGTTTCTTGAGGTCTATATGCTGCATATTTCTTGCTTCAGTAGCTTGCGAGCAGCACAAGGGTCCAAGGGAGGAAGGGTGCCATAGGGAGGAGAGCGCGAGGAAATGCGAGAGTAAGTGCGTGAGAGGAAAGGAAGGGAGTGGGTGAGAAGGCGGGGGAGAGAAACATTGAAGAACATCTGTCATGTATATGGCAAGAATGGCTGACAGGTTTCCGAGGTTGGTCATGGCACTCAGGTCTGGGATGCTTCCTGACAGGCGGTTGTGGCCTAGGTCCCTGGGGAAGGGAAGAGGTGCAGTGGAGATGAAAGAGACGCGTGGGGAGGATGAGAAGTGGGGGATATGTTTCTGCTTGTTCAAAGGTGTTGCTGAAGGGAAGAGTGCAGATTGGGAGGTGGCTGTGGTGGTGGCAGCAGCAGAAGCAGCGGCAGCAGAGCAGCAAGGGGAGGAGGAGGAGGAGGAGGAGGAGAGCAAATGAAGAGCACAAAGAGCAAATGTAACAACGGCAAGGGCACGAAGAGCAAATGTAACAACGGCAAGAGCAGCAGCTGGAATATTTTGGTGTCAGCAGGCTGGCATGGCAAGGCAAGCAGTGAAGTGGCGATGGCAGAAGCAGGGGAGGTGGACATAGTCTGGCGGGTTTGGTACTGACAGGTAGGTCATATCCGTCATTGAGCTAATTGACGGGATGCAGTCTGTCAGATAGTTGGAATGAAGATTCCTGTGGCATGGGAAGGTGGGAGATAGTTGAATTGAAAAGATGGGAGTGAAGAGGGTGAGCTGGGCAGTGAGTGCTGCTGCGCTGGGGTTGTTGGAGGAAAACTTTGGAGAAATTGCGCAGAGAAGAAGAGCCGAAGCGGCGGATGGTGGCAGCGTGAGAGGGAGGGGCAGGGCAGTGACCAAGTGGAACAGCATTGGGATGAAGGCGAAGAGGGCGGATGGGGAGTGAGGGGGAAGAGGGGGGGGTGGGGCTTGGAGTTCCTGTGGGGCACTTGGAAACGCTGCTTCTATCCATGTGTAGCAGATGCATACAAACAAACAAGCATGAGGCAGTGAGTGGCATAGACAAGTCTGGATTGTCATACAGTTGTGTTAATCTGTTGAGGTTGCTGATTGTTGGTGGGATGGGTCCAGATAGCTGGTTGTATGACAGGTCCCTGCAGGGTGGTTAGATTGGAGGGTTCATGGGTTGGTTGGTGGGTTCAGGGGTTGGTTGACAGGTTCCCTTTTCGCGCGTTAATGATCCAGGTTCGTGAAGGGGAAAGGATAGAGCTTACGGCAAATCACGTCCAGATAATTACTGTTAATAGGTTTTTCATTTCCAAACACCAAACAAGCCCCACTGCTGCACGACGCACAGGGCTGGAAAGTTGTTGGGAGATTGCACAGTGAGGAAACATTTATTGAAGGGCATTCCGCTCGACTCACAAGAACCGAAGCTGCTGGAGGTTCCCAATGGAATCAGGAATTGGTCCCGTGAACTGATTCACCGACAGCTGGCTGGAATGACACGTGGTGCATGTGGCAGTCATGGCAGGTAGGTGGGCAGGCACATAACCAGGTATGGCTAGAAGCAGCACAAAATGGTTTCGTTCAGAGGACAGGGGTACTAGTAGAGATGGACTAGAGAATGCAACAGGTGGAACAAAGGAGGGAGAACAAATTGTTAGCACTTGAGATTAGAATCCATGCATTAATATTGAGCTTGAAGCTCTTAATCAGGATGGGCAAGAAATGGATGCGGAAGGGAATCGGGGGCAATCTCTAGGGATTGGGGGTAATCCCAAGGCAATCTCCAATTGGTGGCTTGGAGATTACATTTGGGTTTGGTTGGAATGTAAATGTACACCCAACCAAACACAAAGTGCAAACTACAATACGCTAGGATATAGAAGTACAAAATACAAAGTGTGAGATTGAGGGCTAACAATAACACAAATATATGCCAGGATGCGAATAAAATAAGGTTAAGTGAAGTGAGTTGCGGTTTGGCTAGAAATCTCGGGGTTTTAGGCCGAACTCACAGGTACTCGAGGCTTGCGAAGGAGTCAATTCCTGACGGGATGGTTCCATTGAAATTGCACCTGTTGAGAATCCTGTGGTGGAGAAGACGAGGTGCAGGAGCGGAAGAAAACGGGCGCAACAGGAAGGGAGGACGAGACGAATGGTAAATGTGCCTTTGTGTGTGCGTGCATGCGTGCGTGCATCCGTGCGTGAGCGCGCGCGGGCGTGTGCGCGCGGGCGTGTGCGCGCGGTCGTGTGCGTGCGGGTGCGCGCGCAGGGGTGCGAGTGCAAGAGTGTGTGCGCTCGCGCATGTGCGTGTGCGTGCGTGCGTGCGTGCGTGCATGCGTGCGTGCGTGCGTGCGTGCGTGCGTGCGTGCGTGCGTGCGTGTGTGCGTGCGTGTGTGCGTGCGTGTGTGCGTGACTGCCAATTAGCGAATTCTCAAAAGTAACGGAAAGGAGAAGTCTCATTGTGACTGGGTCGTTGAGCAGAATGCAGCGGACAGGCAGAGGACAAGGGGTCAGTCAGAATGGCAGGGAACCGAAGGAAGGGGAGACCATTGGTGGGTTGTGTCATAGTGATGGTGGAAAAGAGATTCAGTTGCAATAGTAGGGTCCTGTGCAGATCATACACATTGTGCGCGACAAGTGTTACCGTTACGTACAGCCTGTCGATTCTAGGCGAGTTCAGGAGTGCTGGCAGTATGGGACCCGACAAGCCTTCGATATAGCTCAGCTCTCTGTGGGAAGGGAAACAGCGCATGGAAGGATGGGAATGCGCGACTCAGTGGAACAAAGCACAAGATCATCTACAAGCAAAAAAAGACGACAGACAAACACTCGAATGAAAGGAAGGAGAAGAAGGAAAAAAAACAAAGACTTATGACCTTGAACATGACATTAGAACCGCTGGTCGAAATCCGGCAGTGTCAGCTTACACGGACATAAGAGAAGTGATGCTTCCCAATTCTGAAGGAATTGTGCCTGGAATGGTTGAGCCAATTATCCGGCTGGTAGACGCGAGAAAGGGAGGGAAAGGGAGGGATGCAAGTGAAGTGAAAGTTGGTTTGGTGGGACTGGAACAGTGGGAAAGCAAAGTAGAGGATTCAAATAAAAGTGATTTGAAAGAAGCCGCACAGATGGCATGGCAGGGCCTCTGCGCAGGGCGAATCAGCGCATGACTTACATGATTTGGAGTTTCTGGAGCGCGCTGATTGAGCCTGGAATGGATTCCGTCCGAAAGCTACGCAAGTACCTGCACGCGCATCGTCATCACCGCCACCGTGGGTTCACAATTAGCGATGAGCATGGTAAAAACCTGTCATGTAGAGATAATTTGATATCTCGTCCTATCTGGACATTCGGTATCTCGTCCTGAGAAGTTCACCGACGGCAAGCGTCCATTCAAGACGAGTCGACTCACAAACGTAAAACGAGAGCCGGTCATGTCTTACATGCTGTTTCAGTGAACACCGCTTGATTTGTGAATCAAACCGGCGAGAGCTCATCAGTTGGCCTCACAGTGTATCAATCATGCCGTCGTTGTTGCAGCCGACGAAAGGAATATAATCGCACGGGTCCTCGGACCAATCCTGAGATGTCCAGTCTTTCAAGAATTGCGCTGCGCATTTGGTGATTCATAAAGAGGGGAAACCCTGAGCGCAACGGATCAACTGCAGGCGGAAAGACCCTAAAGTAATTTCATCGTAACAGTCAGACCCCGTTACTAGTACCAGCCCGGGGCCCGGCGGCGCTATAGTATCGGTTACCAGCACATAGGTGCCTATATAGTACCTTGCGATTCCTCCAGATATACGAGATCACCCGACTGGGCGTCCACCACGAGCAGCCACAACGCGAGAATCAGCGCGCTGCGACGCAGCTTAGTACTAACAGTCAACATCGCCGCACTGAAACCGCCGCGGCAACGGAGAGTTGAGTGGGTTGAAAGTACTACTACTAATCGTCTGAGGAACCACGCCGCCACGTGGATCTCCTGCCGCTGCACGGCGACGGCCGAGGAACCTCGGCTCAGGAAGTCCCTAAGGCAGGGACGAGCTCCTGTTGCAGCGCATACACATGGTTCTTGTAGTAGCCGGCCTGAAGCTGGGGACCGTGCGATTTTTTCTACCGAGGAGACACGGCACTAAGGCTTGGACGGAGCAGGCTGTTCTCACGACAACTGCTCCATGCCAAGTTCCCAACACTTATGGATGGAGCTGACGCAGTTTTCAAGGGAGAGGGACATGATAGGGGTCATCATCCCCCACGTGGGGTTACCCCAAGTTTCCCGTTGGCGCTGGAACGTCTGAAAATTTTGCGACATTAGCGAAGATCGCTAAGCATCTCGCGAACTTCCAGGAACAATTGCTCTCCAATCAGGATGCAGAGAGGAACAACCGGTGGCTGACGGTTCGAGTGTTCACTTCACACGGGACGGGAGGGAGTGGCTAGGGGGGGAGGAGCAGGATTCCAGGGCGAAACTACTGTACTGTACCCATCGAAGGGTTTGCCGTTTGTGTTTGTTCAGGAGGCAGTGTCTTGGCTCGGGCCCGGCGGGAGCAACGATGCCGTCAGCTTCTCGAATCGCGATGAGTGTCGGTGGGAGAAAAGCCAACTTCACCAACATGGGATGCGATAAATTGAGTTGTTGTTGTGAAACACCTGGGTACATCAGGGCTAGCCAAGAACGTCCCCCCAGCAGTGCAAGGTGGGTGGGCTCGAGTCACTCTTCTGGCAATGATGGGATACCAGAAGTTGGATAATGAGCTTTTGGTCAATGATGGATAATTGGCACACACTTGATCGCTGACAATAAGCTGGGTACGGAAAACCACACCAAGGGTTTGACAAGAGTTCAGAATACCCTCTAACCACGTGTTGCGACCCACCCGAGTTGGGTCGGGTCGGGTCGACCCGGTCGACCAGGGTTGACCCGACCCGACCCGACCCCAAGGCGACTCGAGAAATCAAAGAATTTCCCGTTGCCTTCTTTGCAAATTCGAAGTAGCGAGAAAGCAAGTGCTCCGCAGGTGGAAGGTGGGCGAGGCAATGTTTGGCGATATTACCGGGTATCTTTTTGTTAAACGAGATACAAGCGACATTTGCGCGAGAACCACAGATTTTGCAAAATCCGGTAACCTGCTCCAGCTCGGCTGGGTTGGGTTTGGTCGGCCTGGTCGACCCGACCTGGTCGACTCAGGTTGACCCTGGTCGACCCAACCCAGGTTGGGTTGGGTCGGGTCGACCTGGTCGGGTAGGTCGGCAGTGCGGGCTTCCTTGAAATTCGGGATCGGCGGGTGGTCGACCCGACCTGGGTGGGTCGCAACACGTCGTAAGCCTATCCACCCGATGAAAACTATCAGCAGCTTCCACTAGAACGCCCTACAGCGTCACGAGCGGCGGAAGGTGTGCGAACAGTGGGAGGGCGTTAATGGTGAAGATTCTTCTTGAAACTCATGGTTCACCATTCACGCCCTTCCACTGTTTGTGCCCAAAGGGCCGTCTGCATCAGGCACGAAGTGTACACCTACAGACATAAGTGTTAGAGGGGTGTTTACTGTTCATTCCGAACAGTACATTCCAAGTCACCCTTATCCTTATCTTCTCAGATTCTCTAGTGCCACGTGGCACTCTACTTTTCTTGCACTCCAATTCTTGGTCCCACAATCCACTTTCCAACCTTGTTTCTTGCATGCTATATAAACCTTGCTTGTACTTGGCATTATCAACCAATTCTCATTCAACTCTTCAATTACTTAGTAACTTCTTCGCCTATTTCGCCAATAGTCTTTTCGCCAAAGTCTTCCGCCGCGTTTCATCCTCGACTTAGTCGACCCCGCTAATTCTTTAGCGGACTTAGGCCGTCGGGCCTAACACTTGGTATCAAGAGCCTTCGCGGGGAGCGACTTCCAACGAGCGGCCGTCGACGACGAGACTACGACGTCATCGTCCCGCGGTGCCGACTTGCAGACTTGGAGTCGTCGAGCAAACATGGACGAAACCATGCACGCTCTCTCTCACCCAAGACATGGGCAACGCGCTTGCCGAACTCATGCGCCAACTTCAAGAGTTGACGTTGGAAAATCGTCAGGTACGAGCTGAAATGCAACAGCTTCGTGAATTGGCTTCTAACCCCCATGGTCATGCCGCACCAACTCCTGCACCCACCACGTCGACTGGCGCGGAAGCGCTGCCGGAACGTCGAAGCGCGCTCAAGCCGCAGAAACCGGAGTCGTTCGACCCAAGTCAGCGCGACGCGAACGTGCGAACGTGGCTCTTCATGCTCAACAACTACTTCGCCAGCAGGAGGACGCGCAGCAGCGGATCGAATACGCCGTGACGCTGCTGAGGGGCCCGGCCTTGGAGTGGTGGCGCCAACTTACGCAGACTGCTGTACGTAGGGCTCAGACGGACGGGCATCAACAGGGCGTGGGGCATGCAGCTGCAACTTCGAGCTTAGGGAGTTTAGCTTTGGGTGTTACCACGGTTCCGACCACATGGGAAGGATTTGAAGCGGCGCTGAAAAGTAGGTTCGATTTGGTGAACGCCTCCGAAGCTGCTAGGAAGCGTCTGCGTCATTTCCGCCAGATAGGAAACGTCCAGGAGTACACACGACGGTTCTTGAGCATCTGCAACGAGATAGACGACATCACGGAAGCAGAGATGCGCGATCGCTACCTCGAAGGGTTGAAGCCGGACATAGCGGAGGTTATAGCAATTCACGGGTTGTCCACCTTCGAGTCGGTAGTCGCAGCAGCAGAACGCGTCGACGCAGTACGAAGCCGACGGGGTCGTGACGATCGTGATAGGGGATACAGAAATCCGGTGAACGACGCTCGATCGAGGGACGGACCATCGCCCATGGAGATTGGTGCAGTTAACAGTGACGGCTCACAGCGAACGGGTTTTAGGGGGAACTGTCACTACTGCAAAAAGCCGGGTCACATGAAGCGCGACTGCCCACTGCTCAAGGAGCGGCAGCAGGGAAACGGAAACCGCCAGTAGATAGCGGGTCGCTAGCTGGTGTGGAGGCTTCCGTACCCGCCAAGTCTACCGAAGTAGAGGAGACAGCTCTGGAGCAGTCATCTACGGAGAACGGGGTAGACACTGTTGACCGACCAGTCGTGCTTCTAGGGAAGCTTCGCGGAATTCCAGTTAAGATTCTCGTAGATAGCGGAGCTAGCCACTCTTTCGTGTCTTCATCGCTAGTTAGTCGTCTTCAACTTGAAGCAGATTCGGCGGTCAGCATCAAGGACGCTCGCATGGTAGATGGGACGCCGCTTCACATAGGACCAGTCATTCGCAAGTTGCGCGTAGTGCTAGGACCGATCACGGTTAGACGTGACTTCGACTCTGCAACACTAGACAGTTACGACTTCATCTTCGGTAGAGATTGGTTGCGGACGGTTTCGACTCAGTTCGATTGGGCTCAGGGAAGCTGCAGTGTCAAGGTAGACGGGGAGTTCCGGGAGCTGCCACAGTGGAGCGATGGGGCCACATCCTCCACAGCTATCATTAATGCTGTTCGTGTGCGACAGTTAGTGAAGCGAGCAGCACGGATCTTCGCGGTTTTCCTTGAGGAGGTTGAAGCTGAGGAGGGGAAAGGAGGGAGTGCAGCAGTTAGTGAGAAGGCGACTCTTCCTGCTGAGGTGAGTGCACTGTTAGCAGAGTTCGCAGACGTCTTCCCCGACGAGTTGCCCCCAGGGTTACCTCCCAGCCGAGCAGTAGACCATCGAATAGAGTTGGAGCCGGGGAGCAAGCCAGTAGCGAAACCATAGTGGAGGTTGAGTCCAGCAGAGACAGAGGAGATGACGCAGCAGGTTAGGCACTTTCTCGCACAGGGGTTCATACAGCCATCTAGATCGCCTTGGGCCGCACCGATCCTTTTCGCGCCTAAGAAAGATGGAGGGCTACGGATGTGCATAGATTACCGCGCACTGAACGCCGCCACCGTCAAGAATAGGTTCCCGGTGCCGAGAGTAGAGGATCTCCTAGATGCAGTGCAGGGCGCTAGAGTCTTCTCCAAGATCGACCTTCGTTCGGGTTACCACCAGATTCGTGTAGTTCCAGAGGATCAGCACAAGACGGCGTTTCGTACGAAGCAGGGGTTGTACGAGTTTAGGGTTCTACCGTTCGGACTGACCAACGCCCCAGCGACGTTTCAGACGCTCATGAACACAGTTCTCTCTGAGTTCCTAGGTTCGTTCGTCGTAGTTTACCTAGACGACATCCTCATCTTTTCCAAGTCGAAGGAGGAGCACGTGCAGCACTTGCAGAGGGTCTTTGAGGTCTTGCGGAGGGAGAAGCTGTACGCGAAGCAGTCAAAGTGCGAGTTCTTCCTCCCCGAGGTCGAGTTCCTAGGACACGTCGTATCCGCTAGTGGCGTTAGGACCGACCCGAAGAAGATCGCAGCCGTACAGGATTGGGTAGTACCGACCTCAGTCAAGGAACTGCAGAGCTTCCTCGGATTCGCTAATTACTACCGTCGTTTCGTTCAGGGTTACGCTTCCATCGCTAGTCCACATACCGACCTACTTCGGAAGGGCGTAGAGTACGTTTGGGGTCCAGCGCAGCAGCAGGCGTTCGAGCAGATGAAGCAGTCGCTCACGTCTTCACCGACACTGTCGTACCCCGATCCCACTCGCCCGTACGTTGTAGTGACCGACGCTTCAGATCAGGCCATAGGAACTTCAGGACCAGGGACGCGGGTTGCAGCCGATCGCGTACGAGTCGCGTAAGCTGAGGGGAGCGGAGTTGAACTATCCCATACACGACAAGGAGGCGCTAGCGATCATCCATGCGTATAAGGTGTGGAGGTGCTACCTAGAGGGGGCAGATAGTGTTATACGCACGGACCACTGTTCGCTTCGCTTTCTCAAGTCGCAGCCGCAGCTGAGTCGTCGCCAGGCTAGATGGATGGAGTTCATGGAGGGGAGTTTCCACTACAGGATAGAGTACAAGCCAGGCGTGCGCAACCCAGCAGATCCGCTCACTCGCCCTAGTTGCCAGCTCGCTAGCCTCACAGTCACTGCCGGCCATCCACTTCTCACAGCACTCTTCGAGCACGGTTACACAGTAGATCCCGACTTCACACCGCAGCCGCCCGCAGGAGCAGAGGTGCAGGGTAGTGTCTACATACGGAAGGGCACAGCACGGATTTGGGTTCCAGCCTACCGCCCTCTTCGACAGCTTCTTCTTTCCGAGGCGCACGATGTAGTCAGTGCAGGTCATTTTGGGGCAGATAAGACGGCTAAGACGCTTAGTCGCACGTACTACTGGCCAGGGCTTGCAGCAGACGTAGAGGATTACATTCGCTCGTGCGACACGTGTCAGCGTACGAAGTCCTCGCGACAGCGCAAGGCAGGACTTTTGCAGCCGATTCCACCACCCGACCGCCCTTGGCAGGTAGTTACGATGGACTTCATCATGGCATTACCGCGCACAGTTAGGGGTCACGACGCCATCTTCGTGGTAGTGGATAAGTTTTCTCGAGCAGCGCACTTCATCCCCACGCACGGCCAGGTCACAGCAGAGGAAGCCGCGACGCTGTTCGTAGATAACGTAGTCCGACTGCACGGGGTTCCAGATTCGATCATTTCCGACCGCGACCCTAGATTCACTTCGAAGTTCTGGAAGCAGCTTTTCGCACTGTTTGGGACTCGCTTAGCCATGTCGTCAGCGTACCATCCAGAGACAGACGGACAGACTGAGCGCGTGAACCAGACCTTGGAGCAGATTCTTCGCAGCATCACGATGCACGACGCAGCAGCATGGGACAAGAAGCTGAGCATGGCCGAGTTCGCATACAACAACACGCACCACTCCGCCACAGGCATGTCACCGTTCTTCGCACTGTACGGTCAGCACCCCAATGTCCCCACTCGTGTCGATCTCACACCCACAGTCCCACGTGCTGATAACTTCCACCAGCACCTCACTTTCATTCACGACCACGTGAGGAAGCACCTTGAGCTTGCAAATGCACGCATGGCACGCACCACCAACCGCAGTCGTCGTGAGGTGTCGTTCGCAGTTGGCGACCGTGTTCTTTTGGACAGCCGCAACCTCCGACTGCCACAGGACGGCAAGCTTCGCCCACGTTTCATTGGTCCATTTGTCATTGAGCGCGCACTTGGTCCAGTCGCATACCGCCTTCGCCTTCCCGCTCATTTCCGCATGCACCCATCATTCCACGTGTCTCTCCTTCGGCCTTACACCGATCCCAACGCCACCTTCTCGGGCCGTGATCGCACTCCACTGCCGGTAGCTGTTGACACCGACGAGCCCGACTACCAGATCCAGCGCATCCTCAGGCACCGTCGCCGTCTCCAGGGGGGTGTCTCCTTCATCGACTTCTTGGTTCGTTGGCGTGGTTACGATGCAGCCGACGACAGCTGGGTCCCTTCGTCCTCGCTGTCTCCTGACAACGCTTGCCTCCAAGCGTACCTTCAGTCTGCAGGCGCCGCGGACGTCGCCTCCTTGGGAGGGGGGTAGTGTTAGAGGGGTGTTTACTGTTCATTCCGAACAGTACATTCCAAGTCACCCTTATCCTTATCTTCTCAGATTCTCTAGTGCCACGTGGCACTCTACTTTTCTTGCACTCCAATTCTTGGTCCCACAATCCACTTTCCAACCTTGTTTCTTGCATGCTATATAAACCTTGCTTGTACTTGGCATTATCAACCAATTCTCATTCAACTCTTCGCAAATTACTTACACATAACTTTTTCGCGTATTTCGCCAATAGTCTTTTCGCCAAAGTCTTCCGCCGCGTTTCATCCTCGACTTAGTCGACCCCGCTAATTCTTTAGCGGACTTTGGCCGTCGGGCCTAACATAAGTGTACTTTTGAAAGAGTATGCAGCACAGCTAACATGCTCCATATAGCAAAATGTGACAATGCATCTTTTCCTTGGTCGTTGATTGACAATGTATCTCCTAGTTGGTGTTTGATATTCGGAACCAGCTTTGGTATTGCTAAGTTTCTACAAATTACGGTAATTGCGCACCATGTTCAATCGCAGCGCAAGAACTCCTAGCCGATTCGGTATGGACGTTATGAATACAGGGTAGCGTAAACTCTGTAATCACGGCAACCCACAAATCACCTTCCCTCTTAACATAACCTACCCCTTACTTTTACCGTAAGTGAAATAGACCCTATAGCAAGTGCACTCCCCCCCTAATCACATCAGCATCCCCAGCTTCTATCTGGTGCTTCGGCTCTTCATGCACATACAAGTACTGCCTCTTGCTCCATAGCATGGCTCCAATAATCGCCAGTAGCGCTACCAGCATCACGCTGCATACCACTGCTATGGCTATCGTGCCGCCACTGCTGCTGCTACTGCTGCTGCCACTTTCATTGGGAGGAGCGGCAGTGAAGGGCTGCAACCAGTGGGGACAAAGTGTATAGGCTTAGGAACAAGAAGGGACAGTGACAGGTTAGTGACAGGACCACTTAGGCATAGGTGGCTAATGCATTTGCATAAAGTAGCGATGGGAGCAGGCAGCATAGATGGGACAAGGAAGCTGGAGCGGTGTGCATAGGTAAAATAGCCAATCCATCACTCCACATACCTCAAATCTCCATCCACCATCAGAAACTCACAAACTTGTCCCAAACAGTTCCCCTCCCCTCACTTCTTCCTCCTCCGACTTCCTCCTCCAACCCCTTCACTTTCACACGTGCTTACAACCTACCTCATTGGCCGCTGACTGCTGCGCTGGTACAGAAACATCTGCGCTGCCAGCATTGCCACTGCTGTCGCTGGTACTGCTATTGTTGCTGCTGCTGTCAGGAGGAGCTGCCCCCTCTGCTGGGCTTCCGTTTGTCTCTCCAGCAGCAACGGCAGCAGGGTCAGCTGGTCGCTGCAGCGGCGTCTCCTGTGTCAGCTTGAGCCGTGGCTGGTGCTGCTCCACCCACTCTCCCACTGGCTGGCAAGGGTCCAGGGGAAGGAAGTAGATGGGTGGGGAATGGAGGGGAGAAGGAGGTGACAGAGACGGAAGATTTAGCATGCTCCGCGCATGAACAGCATCAGCAGCAGAAGTGCCAGCAACAGAATCAGCAGAGCAGCAGCAGCAGCAGCAGCAGCGCCAGCAGTGCCAGCATCATGAGAGGCGTACCATCCAGGGGAGCCCTGCAAACTGCATGAGCGTGTAGCGCGGCGACGCCTGCACCTTGCTGCGCTCGCCCGAGTCGGAGTCAAAGTGCACGTAACCCGTGGCCCCCGGGAAGGACACGCAGTCAGAAGGGGTGTCGTTGAAGCAGGCGAGTTCTGAGGCGCCTCAAAACTAGTTTAGAGGCGCCTCAAAACTAGTAGCAGCAGCAGCAATATTACCAGCAACAGCAGCAGCAACGTGAGAGGCGTACCATCCAGGGGAGCCCTGCGAACTGCATGAGCGAGTAGCGAGGCGACGCCTGCACCTTGGTGCGCTCGCCCGAGTCGGAGTCAAAGTGCACGTGCCCCGTGGCCCCCGGGAAGGACACGCAGTCAGCCGGCGAGTCGTTGAAGCAGGCGAGCAGGTGCGAGGCCGATAGGGACGCGCCTGGCAGGTGGACGCAGGGAAGTGGGGCGAAGGCGGGGAATCAGCGTGAGAGGGAGAGGAGGGAAGTGGAGAGTGAGGGAGTAGGGGCTCTATGGGAAAGAATGGGTGATTGGCTCATTGGGACTCACTTTGTGAAGAGACTACGTAGCACTGGCACACTGTGTGTCAGTTTTCCGAGCAGCAGATAAATAATGTTGCCCGGTTGATTCCTTCCAATCCCCGTCCCCCATCCCCCCATCCCCCGACCCCCATCCCCCGTCCCCCGTCCCCCATCCCCCGTTCCCCATCCGCGTACCATGTTCCCCAACGGTCTTGTTGACAGCCTCGTTGAACGCCCACACGGCATCCACGAGGTGTCGGCTTTTGGGTTGACCCAACAGTCATCCCCATGCCCACCCCCATCCCAGTCTCTAGTTGCGCTCCCATACCGTGTTCCCCAACGGTCTTGTTGACGGCTTCGTGGAACGCCCACACGGCATCCACGAGGTGTGGCACGAAGGCCCGGGGGGCGGAGAAGCGCGGGGAGGCGTCGAAGGTGAGCAGGCCCGGGAACGCAGCGTACGACTGCTGCTGCCAGTACGCCTTGAATGGCGCGAAGGGCTGCTCGCCTGAGGGGTCGGCGCCTGCAGGAGAGGAGGAGATGAGGAGGGATGGTGGGGGAGTGAGGGGTTGCGGAGAGGAGAAGGGGTGGTTGGGAGGGGCAAGGATGAGGCGAGAGTGGCACAAGAAGGGGCTGACAGGGGTCAGACATGCAGACGACCAGCATGAGTTAATATTGCAGAGGTGCAGCAGGGGAGCTGCTTGGGCGTGGAAAGAAAGCAGCATACTTGCAGCAGAGGAGGCGGAGGGGCAGCATAGGACCGGCAGAGGGAGCAGCAGAGGGCGCGTTAACCCACCTGAGGGCACGAGCGCGAGCTCGTTGAGCATGCGGTTGGCGAGCATCTCCTCGCCCGACTGCGGTGCTGCATCCATGAGGTCCAGTGCTGCCACGCCGTCCGTTCCCAGGTACCACCACGGGTACCCCAGGAGATTCTGGTGGGATGACGATGCACGGATGGGGATATGAGAGGAGAGGAGGCAAGGAATGGGTGAAGCCAGTGTGATGGAATTCCATGAGGTCCAGGGCTGCTATGCCGTCCGTTCAGGTACCACCACGGGTACCCCAGCAGATTCTGGTGGGGTCATGGTGCGCGGGCGAGCAGAGGAGAGAGGCATGAGCAGATAGAAAATCAACCAGCACCACGGTTGCAGCGAAATGAAGCACTTCCCACACTGCTTGCCCTGCCAACCCTGCCTGCTTCCCAACCGCCAAAGCCCAATGGGAAACACAGAGGCAGGGGAAGGCGCTTACGAGCTTGCTTGCGGCAGCACAACGAGCACCACACACACCCATGTCCTCCGACCCGACCCCTTCATCCAGTCGTTCCACTTGAGCCTCCCAGCCTTAGTGGCAGACCTCAGCACCTACTATACCAGCTTCCTTCCTGGCAGCACCCACCAGTGCACCACCAGCGACGCCGTTGCTGCAGCTTTGCCTGCATTGCCCGCACTGCCTGCTATGCCTGCACTGCCTGCTATGCCTGCACTGCCTGCTACCAAAGCTTCCGCCACCTAGAGAGGAGAAACGCACACACCAGAGGCACGGGAAAGCACTCACGAGCTTGCTAGCAGCGGCCCAGAGGCAGGAGGCGGTGCTGGGCAGCACGGCGAGCACCACACCCATGTCCTCCGACCCCTTCATCCAGTCGTCCGCCGCCGGGGGGAAGTACGCGGAGCAGTCCGCGGGGGGCGGGTGCGGAATGCGCACCGTGCGCACCTGCAGCTGGGGCTCCTGCGCCACCTGGGGGAAGGGGGGAGGAGGGGGAAGGGGTGCGAGGGGGAAAGGGGAAGGGCGGGAAGCGAATTGGGAGCGCAGACGAGGGATGGGCGAGGTTAGAGAGGAGAGGGGAGAGGCTCGGTGGGAGGAGGGGCGAGGTGACTAACATCCCACTGCGCGAGTGTTGAGATGTCTCAAAGCGAGGTGACAAGCATCCCACTGCGCGAGTGGCTAGGGAGACGAATGCATGATGCACGCTCGTCTGGCAGCCGGGTGCCACCATAGTTCTAGAACAATGTAGCCATGTAGAAACTGCAGCACTGCAGCACTACAATGCTACAATGCGGCACTGCAGAACCGCGGCAGTGGCCCGCACTCACATCGTAGGCGAGCGCCTCGCCGTACGTCTCGGCGGTGTGGAACACGAGCAGGCGCTTCCACTGCAGCTGGTCCACCTGCGGGGGAATACAGCGGTGAGGAGTGGGTCGACGGCGATACAGAGGGGTGAAAAAGGGTGAGAGGGAAGGGGAAGTGGGGTGTAATGAGTTTGGGCGGACAGGGAAAGGTTGGAAGGGAAAGGAAGGGGTTGGAGATAGCGGGCGTATGAAGGACGGAAAGGGGGAGAAGAGGAAGGGGAAACCGAAGATCAGCGGTATGCATGTGAACGGTGACGGATGGAGGATGGCAGATGGTAGATGGCGGATGGCGGAGGGAGGATGGCGGAGAGTCAATAACGGGAGCGATGACGACGACGACCAAGGCTTACCACGCTGCGAATGGCTGCTGCCTGATGCCGATCGCCGAAGCTGCGGACGGCACGAGAGGGAAGGGGATAGGGGAGGAGGTAGGGGAAGGGCAAGGGGAGGGGAAGGGGTTGGGCAGGTGAAGGGAAAGGGTAACGGGAAACGGTAAGAGTGTTTATCGCATTATTGGATACGCAAGTGCTTTTGTGCCACGCGGGGGCATGGAAGCCGGGGGAGAAAAGTTACAGGGGATGATGCAGAGGCGGAGGATAATTGAGGAACGTGAAGTAGCAAGGACTCTTCTATTTCTAATCAGATATGGCAGCTTGAACGACAAGATGGCGACATATGTATCCCCAAAACCTCAGCATCGCACTCACGCAGTACGAAAAAAAGTCGGATACGCGGTGCGGTTCCGCAGCGCGTCAGCCGTGGCGGCGAAGGACACCATCGGGATCCCCGCGCGGCCCAGCACGGGCGCCGCGCCGACAGCCGCCTCGCTGCACGCGGGCCCCACCACGCCCGCCACGCCCTGCTTCACCAGCGCGTCTGCGCCGACTGCGGCGTTCTCGGCGGTGCATTCGACGGCCTGGAAGACGGGCTTTATTGCGAAGCCCGTGTAACGCGTAGCGAGCACGTCCAGTGCCACTTGCGCTGCCGATCCCCTGCGGTGGAGTGCCGGAGATATGGAGAGGGATGAGGTTTGGACCAGTGTCACATGAAACGATAGAGTGTGGGGGCTAAAAACGATGCCGCGCCTTGCGAAGATCTAGTCCTGAAAGTGGTAGCGTCGAGACGGAATGATCGGCCAAGGTTGGAGAGACCAAGCGCGGAGTACTGGCGCACCCTGTTGAAGGAAAGAGCGTAGCATAGCGTAGCGTAGCGTATCACTCGCGAGCGAGGTTGAGAGGGATGTCGAGGTTGCGCTCCTGAGTCGACTCAAAAGTCACCTGCTTGAGTCGACTCAAATGGGCCACCCTGTTCAACGAATGAGCGCAGCGTAGCATAGCGTAGCGTAGCGTACCATTCGCGAGCGAGGTTGAGAGGGATGTCGAGGTTGCGCTCCTGCACGGGCAGCAGAAAGCCCAGCTTCACCGTCACTGGTGCCGCGGAAGCCGGTGCCGGCGCGGTGTTAGCCTCCTGTGCGGACGCGCCTGGTGAGGGGGGTGCATTTGCCGCCGCGCTGATGCTGCGGGGAAGACTCGTGAGTAGGAGGAGGAGGAGGGGGAGGAGGCTCGCACGATAAAAAGCCATTTTCCGGCCGGATGGTCTTGTTTTAGTTCGTTCGCACTCGCAGTGCCCCTCTCGCCTGTTCTTGATCGAGAGCTGTTTCGTTATTCAAGTGAATTGTCGTGGCTGGGTTGAAGTGACGTCCGTGCGCTGCGGTTATCACGCTATTGGCGACTTTTGGAAAAGAACGAAAGCTGAATCCCGTGGATCAACGTCGCACAACTTGTGATCGCCTACGTCGGTTGCCGCTGAGAACAAGAAGCAGACTGAAATTATCGTATCTTCAGTAATGGATCATGCTTCGAAGTGGGGTCCTCTAGGATTCTTAGTCATGGTGGTGATGCAAACAAACATACTGCTCCACATAACTTCGTCACTTGGCTTTGTCAGGCGCGATCAGAGCAGCCATGCCATTCTTGATTGTGATTCGTGAAGCTGACTGGTTCCATCCAAACATACGACTCGAAAGGATCACAAGTCGCGCTCGCGATGCGGGCAGTCATCGTCAGTCACGGGCGGGTCACAACGTTTCGGGTTGCCCCTAATCAGGCTTGCACCACCAGCACCACCAAACTCAACATGCAACTTTGTTCGTACAGAACATCTGTAGTGCTCTCGGTACGAATGCGAGATTGGGCGAACCCGTTCGAAATCCAAGAAGAACCCTCGGCACCTGCATTCGTAGTTTCAATCCATCCTCTGAATTACGGGCTTATTTACTGGGAGCCCTAGCTCGTTGGGCAAGCCCCCCAAGACCATTCGACGGTACGTGCAGCCCCCCCAAACATTGTCGCGCTGTCCCTGGTCTTCGCTTCACACCCACTCTTTCCCTCCACTGCGGTTGCCAGTCTGGTTTGATTGGCCTGGTTGCCCGTACACGCACACCCCACACATGCACACGTGTACCAAGTGGTGGTACCAGTGAGCTGTCGGGTACGCTTCTTCGCACTGGCCCTGTTCGCCACGCCTTTGCTGGGCCTCCAAAGGGATGGGCGGGGGATCCGGAATCCGCCCTGCACCTTCGAAAAGTGCTGAAATCAGGGTTTTAGGGCCGGTCAGACCGACAAAATCCTGTCGAGCCTGAAGATCCCCTCCGAACCTCGGTGGGCTCTCTGTCGTGGTGAACACCCACATTTCTGGGCCATCAAAGGGATTGGCGGGGGATCCGGAATGCGCATGGCAGTTTCCTGCCCTGCCAGCTAGAAACCCCATCCCTTCCCTCGCCTCTCCCCCGTGCAGACCACTGATTTCGAAGGTTCATCCTCTTCATGAAAAAAAATTGCCCCTGAAGGAAGGGGGGAGGCAGGCGCTAGATCCCCTTGTCCCCCTTCCTGATCCCATTGGCGAAATTTCAGTCGAGGGCGAGCCCCCCCGGACGTAATTTGCAGCTTCCTTTGCACCTTCTGGAGCCCTCGCCCATCCCCCGCCCCTTGTCTATAGCGTGGTCGTGGCGAACAGGGCCACTGCGAAGTGTATCCAAAATGCAAATGCGGCAGAATCTATACAAAAAGGGCACATCATGTACGGGTACTAGGTAGTACACATTAATTCCTTACATAAGACACTCCCTTATATTCCTTCGCATTCAACCGCCTAATCCACAGCCAACCCATCGTTTCAGCCACGCACCCTCACTACCGGCGGTAACTAGCTAACTAGCTACACATGATGCATCCACCAACCACCCTGCTTAATAGAAAAGCTTTTTGAAATGCGACCGCAGCGTCCGCCTGCGCTTCACAGCCTCAAACGTGAACGCATCCGGCTCAACGCCAGCCTCGGCCATCCGATCCAACAGCTGCACCCCACGGTCCACCGCATTGTCCCTCGCACAGATATCCATGAGCTCGTTGAAGATCGCAGTGGACGGCTGCAGGCCAAAGTCGAGCTCCATGCGCGTCAGCAGCTGCTGAATCTTGGCCCACTGCGGTGGGCTCTTGCGCCCGTATGCTCGCAGCAACACGCCCACAGCCACTGCATCCGGCACCAGATTAGCTGTTCTTCCAACGTCTGCTGCTGCTGCTGCTGCTGCTGGTGGCGGCTGGGGCTTTGCTGAAGAGGTTGAAGAAGGTGCGCTCGGCACGCGCCAGCTCACCGCAGCGCACGCAGCAGTCGATGAGAGCTGTGGCTGCCATGGCGTCGGGGGCTATGCCATCCGCCTGACACCGGGAGATGGGATACAGCCGAGGATGGTATAAAAACAGTGGGGGAACAGGGGAAATGTGGGGTGGGGAGAGGGTGTGAGGGGGATAGGGAGGAGGCAGGGAGGGAGGGGACGATCGCTATGGGAAAATGGGGTAAGGGTCAGGGGTTATGAGAGGGTTTGCACTGGTGCGTGGGAGATTAACAGAACGTTTTGGCGGGTGATGATCGTGGCTGCAAGTAATCATCTCAATGGAAAGGCAAGCCGAGCTCGAGAATCACACAGTCGGCTCCTCTTGACCCTGGAATAGGGTACTTGGCACAGAAAGACACGTTACCAGGACCAAGAGTACAACGTGCCTGGCTTTGCAGCTCGCAATGCCTCTTCTGTGCGTAAATCCGCCGGAAAGGAGAGCTGCAAGGGCTGCGCGCGTCTAGCGAGGCGAAGCCTAACAACCCCTCTCACCTGCATTTGAGTGAACAGCTCCACTGCGGCCGACGCATTTCCTTCCCGCCCCAGCTGCCGAATCCTTCGCGAAACCTCCGCGCGAACGCGGGCCTCCTTGACAGCTTGCTCCTCCCTCGCGACAGCCTCGGGCCCAGGCCCCGTTGGCGCATGTTCCGACGGCGCCGCGTGGCCCGGCGCTGACGGAGAAGCGCGCACCGCGAGCGATCGGCGCGCAACAGGACCTGCGAGTGTGAATCTAGATGAAGCGGCGAGCTGTTGTTCACATGGTTGTCGCTGATTTAGGGCGCAGACCGGCTGCGCCAGGGTGCTATTAACGAGGGAAAGCGGCATGGCTGCCGTGGAGTGACTGAGCAATTAGAGGAACATGAATAGGTTTTGGGGTGAGTTGAATCTGCTTTATACTCTCTTCCAGATGATGCGTAATAAGGGTGTGTACCCAACATTACACTTGAGTCACCCACATTCAACCAGCTCACAAAATTGGTTTCAGAAAATGACCCCCCCCCCTGTGCTAGTACTTGTACACCCTGTTTTTCTATAATGACTACCTTTATATAACTTAATTGGGTCGAATACAAACAGAACTCCAATATTGCCCAATTTGGATGATTATTAAACCATCCATCATGGATTTTTTCTTGAAACCTCCTCAAATGGTCTTCTGTCTGCAGCATCTTGATATTGCAGTGACGTGTGGATTATTCTGCTTTGCCGCGTTTTCCGTTGCACCCAACCAATGGTCAAAGTTGACCGTTCTCCACCCCACCACGGCTTTTCCGGAACCGCATGGGGCGTTGCTTCTCCAAGAATTGTACAGTACACTGAGCCAGATCGACTGACACGGGAAATTCTAAGAACCTATATGCGTATTCTCTTTATAAAGGTGTCCCTTACAGTATAAAAGCAGATCGTCTTGTGGATCAGTTGTACGGTACTTATGAGGTGGGGTACACAGTAAAAAAGGCGACCGTTATGCGACGGTTTCCATGAGTGTGACTTCCATTGTGTGCATCACGAAACGTCCCATCTGCCCGTTGGCGACACCCTTTCTAGCACCGTTGTCAACAAAAATGATCTCGATGGTGCACGGTCACAGCTGGTCAGTGGTTGGCGTTCCCCCGCAGATGCTGTGTTGACGCGAGATGCTATTGGCTGCTGGTTTGATGACAAGACTATGCTGAAGACCCTTGTGAGCCGAAACGTGAGCCGTGACTTCTGTTCCTTCCTTTCTGACATCTTGATTTTACAAATTACTAACATCAAGCACCAGCCGTGCAAACGTGGTCCCTAGTTGTTTCCCACACACAAGCGTTCACCTTTCGTTACCTGTATCCAATATAGCAGCAGCTTTTCCGCAGCCACCATTCTAGAACTCACATCAGCGATGCGTTAGTACTCCACAACCCGGCTTTTACACCACAACCTATCCTAGTTGGCACTGTGAGACACCCTCAAGCATTCAAGCCTTCACCATCGAACCTCCTCTCGCGTGTCCTCTCTCACACCAATGGCTGACCAGGAGCGGCCAGAAACTCCTTCCGCAGTCGGCGGGTCGTTAGCATTACCCGAGGTGAATCCTGCCAAAGCAGCAATCAGTAGCATCCGCGTGGCAAAAGGCGTGGCGGAACAGATTTTCCAATCCAAGCTCACCGTCGATAGCCTGCGCTTCCCCAAGTCAGTCGCCACGGCGGTCCGAGCCGCGGTGACAGAGGCCAAGCTGCAGGTCCCGGAAGCCGGGCCTAATGGCGAGGTGGCGGCGGCAGACGGCGTTGAACCCGAAGCGCCATTGGTCGTGTTTATTAACTCTAAGAGCGGGGGCAGACTCGGCCCGGAGCTGTTCGACGCGCTGATTACGGAAATCGGCGCGCTTCAGGTGTGCTGATTAGGGAATGTCTGGCAGGTGCGCGTTGCGTTTATGCATTCTTTGTAAATATGTTATGGTCTTTTCGCTGTGTGTCGACCTCCTACTTACCCGACACTCTATACTGCCTGAGAGATCGTTTCTCTCGTGGCTCTTTCTCTACCGCTCATGCCTTTAATTTTACGCCAGTTCGATGTCGCCCTCCTTCGTTCTCCCGTCCTTCCTTTATCCGTCATATCTTTCAACCCCCCTCTCCCTCCCTTCCATTCTCTCTCCCACTCCCCTCTCTCCCACCCTCCCCCGTCCTAATTTCCAACTCCCCCTCCCTCCCTCCCTTCACCCAACGTCTCGACTTTACGACCGGAATGTACCGTGTGCGTCGCGTGCCGCGTGCTGCGTGCTGCGTGGCGCGTGCTGCGTTCTGTGCGTGCGCGCAGGTTTACGATCTGAGCAAGGTCAAGCCGCAAGTGGCTCTCACAACCATCTTCGGTTGCCTCGAGCGGCTGGCGGGAGAGGGCGACGAGGCCGCGTCGAAAGCGCGCCGGAGACTACGGATCGTGGTGAGTGCCGCGGAAAGCGATGGCGTGTGGGGGGGAAAGGGGAAAGGGCGAGCGGGAATGAGAAGGGTCGTCGCGAGTGGTAGCATTGTGTCGCGTTGTAAGGTGGAGCGAAGCCGGGGTTGGGGGCGATTGCTTTTCGAGCGCGGGCTTTAGATGTGTGATAGAATCCGCTGGCAACGGCGCGCAGTGGCCTTTGCGTCGACTCTGAAAGAAAGAAAGAAAACAATAATGTGGTCGCGCGCGCCCTTTCTGCGTGCTGCACCGCCAGCGCAACAGGAGATCGAATGACAGCGTAACACGAGCGACGTGTGCAAGTGAGCGGATTAGCGAGGAGCTGCTTCGTGCTGCGTGAAACGCGCCGCTGTACGAGCGATGAGCGTGCGATGTGCGACGTGCCGCGTACCTCCATCGTGCGATGCTGGCGTCTGCATAAAGTGTTGCTCCGCAACTTGCCCCCTGTCCGCTGTGCGCTGCGCGCGCTCAGCTCTGCGCGCGCTCCGCTCTGCGCGCACGCATATCCAGCTTATGCCATTGGCTGTCCCGGCCATTGACTGACCCTTTTTCTCCGTTCCGTTCGGTTCCGTTCCATTCTTCTCATTCTTCTGAATTCCATTGTGTGGGATGCGGGCCGGATGGATGTGCAGGCAGCAGGGGGCGACGGCACGGTGGGGTGGCTACTGTCCGTGCTGGAAAAAATCCCCTCGCCGCCACCCGTTGCTGTCATTCCGCTTGGCACTGGCAACGACCTCTCGCGAACCTTTGGATGGGTATGTGCGTGTGAAGCGTGTGTATGTGTGTGTGTGTGTGTGTGTGTGTGTGTGAGAGAGAGAGAGAGAGAGAGAGAGAGAGAGAGATAGAGAGAGAGAGAGAGAGAGAGAGAGAGAGAGAGAGAGAGAGAGAGAGAGAGAGAGAGAGAGAGAGAGAGAGAGAGAGAGTGAGAGAGAGAGAGAGGGCGCGTGCGTGTGCATGTGAGTGCGCACATGAGCTGTGATCATAGGTGGATGGATGCGCCTCTGTGCACGCACCTACCTTAAACCTGTGCCTGTGTTAAAACATCACACAAACCCTTAAACCTGTGCCTGTGACATCTTCACCTTAACTCCCCTCCTGTCCCTTCACCAGTCGACGTGTCCTACTCAAGTGCCTGTATGACTCTCTTCCTTCGCTCCATGTCTCTTCACGCTCCCCTGCCATGCCACCCTTGCCATGGCACCACGACATCCCATCCCATCCAATTCACCCTACCCCACCCCATCGCATCCCACGCAACCCCACTCCATCTACGCCACGCAGGGCCCATCGTTTTCGTTTCTGGGCATAGCACTCTTTGAGCAGATGCTGCTGGGGGTGGTCACCGCACAGCCCTGCAAGCTCGACGGGTGAGGAATCTACCACCGCAGCACCGCTGCTGCCCATCAGTATCATCATAATCATCGTTGCCATACCTCCCCGCTGCTCCCTGCTCCCTGCTGCTCTACCCTTCTCCCCAAGGCTCTTACACACAGTGAATCACGTGGTGTGATCAAGAAAGTTCCTGTCATTCGTGTGCCGCAAGTGCGTGCCCCCACGTGCATAGGCCCACATGCTTACCCCCACGTGCATAGGCCCACATGCTTACCCCCACGTGCATAGGCCCACATGCTTACCCCCACGTGCATAGGCCCACGTGCATGATTCCATACGTCCATGCATCCCTACATGCGCACGCCTGCACGCATCCCTTCCGTCTTTACTCTGCTGACCATCACCCTTCCACTCTCCTTCCCTGCCTTGCCACATGCACATACACATGCACATGCACACATACATGAGCAGGTGGAGCATACAGGTGACGCCGTCCCCTGACATGGACACCACTCAGATGCACCTGCCATACGCCATACACCCACAGGAGACCGCAGGCGAGGTGAGCCCCCACATAGAGGCACATGCAAGCCATGCATCCATGCATGCGTGCATCAATGCAAGCGTGCATCCATCATGCGTGCATCAATGTGCGTGCATCAATGCATGAGTGCATCAATGCATGCGTGCATCAATGCATGCGTGCATCAATGCATGCGTGCATCAATGTGTGCGTGCATGTAACACTTTCTGTCTAGTCTAGCTTGGAGACACCTCACAGCACCTCGCTATTCACACAGAAGCACTCCCCCTCCCCACCCTAGAAGCTTTCCTCCCGCCTGCGTCCCTTCCCGCTCCCGCGTCCCTGTACTATCTCCTCCCCCAACCCCGCCACTGCTCCCCCTTTTTTGTAACACTGCGCATGGGCACAAACGCGAAAGCGAGTGCGGTACGCCTCTGCGCGTGCTTGAGTGCAGAGCGCAGAGCTGCATGGCATGCACATCACATCGTATCACATCATGCATGCAGGCATGCATGCACGTGGCTCTCATCTCATCACCCACCCACCCACGTGCATGTATTGTCCCCATGTGTGCCCGTGCCGTGGTCGTGCAGGCAGCACCAACGTCGTTCCTGGGCAACTTCTACCTTTACTTCAGCATTGGTAAGTGCATTGGTGCATGGGTGCATGGGTGCATGGGTGCATGGGTGCATGGGTGCCTGTGTGCCTGTGTGCATGTGTGCATGTGTGCCTGTGTGCCTGTGTGCCTGTGTCCCTGTGTGCATGGGTGCCTGTGTCCCTGTGTGCCTGTGTGCCTGTGTGCCTGTGTGCCTGTGTGCATGGGTGTCTCTGTGCCTGCGTGTACACGGTGATTGATTTTAAACAGTGGTTGGGCTGGCACAAAGCGAGAGAGTCGACTCTCTTGCCGCTTTCTGTTCCTCACCCTAGACCCAACATGCTTTCTTCGCCCGTGCACCACCCCCAACCATGCCCGGGGAGGCATGGACGCGCAGGTGGCACACAGCTTCCACTCGCTGAGGGTGAGGAAGCCCTGGCTGACCCA